TAAAAAGTTCCTGTTGAAAATCAATTTTAGCAGTTAAACAACCCTTTTTATTCAATTAAAATTCTAAATTAATTTTAATGATGGCAATCCTCTCCAGCTTGTGACCAGACTTGGGAAAAGAGGCCTGATTTGCGTTAGTTTTGATTTCTGCCATTTTTGCAATTTTATCAGATTGATGTTTTAATTAATCCCTTTCTCTACATTGTAATCTGTGGTACTTTTAAAAGTAACATTGTGAATCTGGGTCGGAAAAAATGGAAATCCACAGCAGGTTAATCAGCATTTGAAAGAGAAGCGGGTTAATGGTTTGGGTAGGACCTTTCATCAGGTCTTCTGCCCAGCTGCTGTGAACGTAAATCTATATTGTCCGGAACATATTCTTTGCCCTGATAGGTGTATGTTAATGTCTTCTTAACTGCAGCCTCATAGTGCGTTGTTTTTATCATCTACCCAGTTCGAAACCGGTGGCATCAAAAGCCTTTCAATCAAATGTTGTATCCACTTTAAAATCCATTGAAACATTACAATTTAACAAAATAATTTTTGAGACCACTACCAGTTAATTGACTTTCCAGTTTCTGTCATATTACTGCCATGACCAGGGTCATCCCATCATTAGATGATTCATTTACTTTTTCCTATTAGAGAATTTAAGTGTGTGTGTGTTTTGTCAAATTAAAATATTTTCACACTGTTGTTAAAAACAAAGTTAATTTACATACTTGCAATTGGAACCGCATTTGAGATTATTTTGTTTTGTGTTGTAGAAAACTTTCCATCTAATATTTGTTGACTTTTGAAAGTTTTTGGCTGAATTGGCCATTTAAACCCTAAATTTGCTCAGCTATCCCAAAGATCCAATACCATATTATTGTAAAGATTGAGGTACAATACTTACATTAAATATAAATGTGGCAGTGTTGTAAATGACTTGCGTAAAAGAATGGAAGAAGAGATCCCAATGTGTATTGTCTTCTGAACACTAAATTGCATCCTATTAGGGGGCAAAATGGATACTGGAATGCATTTATAGAGAAGTATTATAAGCAGACGAGCATTAATGTGCATGACATTTCAAGTAATCATTGAGAAGTTTAAATGCACAGAGCATCAAAACTGTGCTATACTTGATTTGGGGATGTTCATTCTAACCAGTTGTGGCATATTTAGCAACCGTACCTCTGGTATCGTTCATTCAGGGATTAATGTAATATTTCATTCAGGGACTATTTGCAGTAAGAACATACTGTCAAATTAACCTTCTGTTATCTTCATAGTTCCAGTGTAGTTTTGATGAGCGAATTAAAAACAATGGCATTGTGTCCTTGTATCTGCATGCAGTGTTATTAATGCCACAATATTGCTGAACGCCAGCATTGTAAGCTGAAAAGTACCATTTAGTTCTGCATTGCAAATTCAACTGCTGAGTCCAAGGTACCAGTGTTCTGTGTAAACAAGGCGGCACCTTTGAAACATGAAACTTCTTAAGGAAAGGGCCCTGACGGTGGGACAGAGCTTAACCATTTAGTTAACCACTTCAGCCTCGCTGCACACTGCTGTCCAGACAATAGCTACATTTTGAAGTGTAGCAAAATGTACAATAAAAACCTTAAGAATTATTCATCATCAAAAGTACAGTTTGATGCTTGGCTGAAGGATGCTGTGTTACCTATCTGACCAAACCGTAACCATAAAAGTTCTTCTAGCACAGACGAGTAGATTATTTTCAGTGGTTAAACTTTGTTGATGGTATTGAAGATTTCACACACATTGTTGCATCTTTACTTGTGGTCACCATACTTTGCTTAACCCCATTTGTTTATTCTAAATAAGTAAATAGCGAAATGTGTGGCTGTTCCTTTTGGATCATCAAAAACTGAATTAATGAAGACAAAAAAACTAAACAAATAAGCATAAAGATATCCAATTTGGAAAAAAAAATGGTCAAACTATGTGTTGGTAATTCAAATGCATTCGTGTTTATTGAAGCCTTTGTTTCAGATCCCCTATTTGAACACTTGAGCTTAGTGCTGTATTGGGCGAACAACACATAAAACTCTTCAGAGGCTTCTGTGACCCAAGATGTTTTTGTGGCTTAATGATATGGATGGTTTTCCTTTAGTGCTTGATTCGTTTTGACTAAATGATCATTTCACAGTTTAGTTGCTTACTGTAGGTTGTTCAGTTTTTTTGTTCCACGTTGAATACTGGAAGATTATATCTAAAGTATTTTAACTGTTTAGTATTCATGTTTGATTTTTTAGGTGTTAAAGTATAATCACAAACCGATGCTATGGTGTGATTTATCTTTGCTCAGTATATTGATGATCACCATTTTCTTTCTGATCTCTCACCAAGTTCTAAAATTTTTAATTTTTTCAAAGAATCAGTGGAGGGATTTTAGCATTTGCACTTTAATATGAAATCAGGTCTTCTCACCGTGGGGCTTTGGTAATTTCTGGCTTGGTGTTTGAAGCTTTTATTAATGTATCACCATTTAGCTTGGGGAATAGCCTATAATTAAATGCATCTTTTACCATATGGTGTCGAGACAAGGTCAAAGCTGAAGCTTATCTACAAGATTTAAATGATATTGACCCTTCTGATCAATTTTATTTAAAAAAAACAAAGTTTAAGTTCGCTACCCTTGTTATTTCTGAACTAGTTCCACGCGTCATATCAGAATAATCCAACATTTCTGTCCACTACTTCAATGTTAAAATTAGCTATAAATAGTGCAGTCAAAGGAGATAAACACTCACTCCAACAGAGCAATTCTTGCCCTTGCTAATTAGCGTGACATTGATCAAAATTAAAAGTTTAAAAACCAGTGTTTAAATATAATCTTAAAATTTGTAAGTCCTGCGGCCTTTATCGACCAATGTGGTGTTTTGAGAGCTTTGTTGCCAACAATAAATTTATAGTGTTTCTATATCTGGATTAATGTGGCTTTCTTTCTGAAACCATTGGGGGGATGTTAAGTGTGTCAGCGGAGAAGACTTTTATTGGCTTTTTGCTCCACTCCTGTGGACTACACTAAGGTTCTATTGAACTCAACTCCCTGCTAGGCGGGCATGTTGTCTACAACATACTTTATTGATGTTTCAAAGTGAAGGTTAGGTCCATTTCCACCCTCACATCAAAGCGCAAGGGAGAGTGAACCAGGTGCATTGCTGGCCTGATCTATACTCTTTAAAATTGTACCCAGTCTAAGAGTGACTGGTTCGTTCGCCCAAATCAATCTTGTCTTGTAAACCAAAAGTTGCAAATTAATCATAGAAAATAGTTGGAACATTTAGAAAAAAAGTTGTTGGTTTATCTCAACTGTATATAATAATAATAAATTCTTGAAATTGTTTTCATTAAATGTGCAAAAATAACAATTTATTACAGTGGAAAAATGACTTTTGTTCTGTGTCACACCATAGCAAGAAATGTTTGCTTTTGGTTTTGTAGCTCTGCATTTAGCAACAACAACATAAAAGTCATAAGCAGACGGTAAAGTCCAGGAATTGGAAATGATCTGCAGGTGATCAGATGACCAAGGATCTGGTTCTAATTTACGAACTGTTCTGATTATAACCAAAAGAGACTCGGTCCTTCCGTGGTATTGGCTGAGTGTTCGGCCTCCATCTGTACATAATGAAATTATTGAGACCACATCAATAAGGCTTTTGCCGCACGGAGTCTTTGATCCCAGATTGAAGGCTGGCACTCGTGCCATTTCATAACAGAGCAGTTAAATTTCTATTTGCAATCGCCAGAAGGGATGCATATTTTGGACAGGCAAGAAAGTAGAATAAAGAGGTTTGCAAAATGATTGTAATTGTCTTGTTTGAAGCTGAGATCACTTAATGTATATATAAATATATATGTATATATTATATATAATATGTGTATATACATTCTACATAATGCTTCAGTAAAAATATGGCTACTTGTGTTTAAGATTTGGTCTGGTATTGAAAACTAAAAGTAGGTGGCCCTTGTAAACGTCTCTTACCACTTTGGGGAAGCCTTAACATGTTCAGAAATTATAGCTGGATTTGATGTAAAATCTGTGTGCATAATACATCTGACTTCTTAATTATCTGATGCTTTTGTCTGTTGATCAAGGCATGTCTCTTCAGTGAATTTGCCTTTATTCCTTTGCTTCCAGGTGACAGTGATGGATTAACCAGCAGTTACAGCATATGCTGTTTTAGTTTGTCCCGCAATGACTGAAGTCACTCTTCTTGTTTTTAAGCTAATGTGTTTGCACTGACACATAGCAAAGAGATGTTTCATTTTTTTTACTTGACTACATTGTACGAATTGTGCCATTGCAGTTTTTTTTGCTACAGACTTCTGGTCTGTCGCACGTGCAGAAGCTGCGGATGGAATTGCGCATTTGGCGGGGAGGGAATAATTCTCTGCTTCTCTAATGCTTTTACACCTGACAATACTGTTGGGCCCTTGCCAGTTTCAAATTTACAAACACACACGACTTTGCGGAGGTAAAGGTTTGGGAAACAACTGCCATTCCCTTGACAAATCAAACGGGGAGCTTTTCAAATACTGGACTTGAAAGGTTGCTCTGCATTCAAGCTTAAGATCACACGGCATGGTAGGGAGTTGGATTACATTTGGGTAAACTAATAATGCTTGAAAGGTTTATAAATTAGATTATACAATACATTGGACGTATTGTGCATTGCATAAGGGCAGAAATCGTCACCATTATCAGGATTTTTATCTCACACACAGAATTTTATGTCGCAGTAAGACAACATGGCCTCCTCAATGATTTTTGTTAAGCATTTGTTTAAATGAATCTCACTGTCACATTTTGATTGAAGTGCACATTTTATAATGTGTCTTTTAAATGAGAGGACATTGTTTTAAATATGTGATCTTGCTTTTGTTGTGATCTTTTTCTGGGTGCCTAAACTAGAAAAAGCTAACTTATTTTCTAACTCAAATGATTTGCTGGCTGACTGTTTAAAATTATTTTCTTCCAGGTTTATGCACCTTCACCAAGCTCAGACGACTTCAACAGGGAGTCTCCAAGTTACCCGTCACCCAAACCACCCGGCAGTATGTTTGCTACCACGTTCTTTATGCAAGGCAAGCTGCAGTCCTCCATAAACTCAAACAAAGCAATCTGTGTTTCACCATTTAGTAAAGACCTAACAACTGTGCACTTGTATGTGCGTGTGTGTGTGTGTGTGTGTGGTGCACGCATTTTGCATTGCAGGTTAAAACATCTGCAATGTACTTTTCAATATTTAAGACGCAGATACCAAATAAGTTAAAACGTTTTGATACTGTATATGAAAACTTATTTCTGTTCTATTAATTACTGTAATAATTCCTTAAAAAAAATAATAAATTGGTCACTTCAATCCATGACTGTTTGTGGGACATTGCTGTGCACAATTGGCTGCCTCGTTTCGCCCATAAAATATGCAGTCAATTCACTTTGCAGTATATTCTGTGAAGCGCTTTGAGACGTCTCGAAGACGTGATAAGGCGCTATATCAAATGCAAGGGTTATTATAATTCTGAAATAAGGAACTTGTTCTTGCTGAAAGCCTTGATTACCAGAAACATCTTGTTTCCCCACAGCGGTCAAGAAAAAGATTTGTGTTTTGATGTAAAAGCTTTTTGAAAAAATAAATATAAAATACCATTTTTTACATTTTTTTTTCAGAAGGGAATCACAATCACAATTCTTCTGACCTTTGGAGTTCCACAAATGGGATGAATCAGCCAGGTTACGGAGGAATGCTAGGAAGCTCTTCCTCTCACGTCTCTCAGTCTAGCAGTTACAGCAGTCTGCATGCACATGACCGTTTGGTAAGCATGATTTGAGCTCAAATAGCGATCCTTCCATGTTTTTCAGTGAATTGCAAGACCCGGTTACGGCTACAGATTGTTTTTCACCTTTTTCCCCCTTCCCAAAAGTCTTCAGGTATCTCCTGAAACATTTACAAACGTACGTATATGTAAATAAATAATCTGGTTTGACAACGCTTGCCTTGTATTCGAGGACATTTGCTTCAGTGAACTTGATAATTCTGCTTTAAGAATGAATCAATTTTTAAAAAGAACTAAGGAGAGATGGCCATTGATCTTTGAATTCTGCAACACAAAGTTTACAGAGTGCACGTCTTGAGAATGCATGTCCTTCGCATTGAGTGATCACCTCTTTTACGTCTGGTTTGCATTCAATTTTGAATGTGTGCCTCATGTTTTGAAATTATGCAATCTGCACGGATTGTTATTTATTTCATTAGAATAAGAAGAGCAGCTGGAAGGAATGAATGTATTCTGCCAACTCCTTACTAGAATTTGTTCCATAAATAGCTGGAGTGTGTGAGAGAGAGAGATGTCTGTAAATAACGCATAACCCTCAAGCTAGCGGAAAGTCCAGTGGGGCTACTGAGTTGCCTTAAGCTCGAGTCTGACCATTTGAATCCCAGAGGGTGGGTCTAATCTTTAGGACTGGAATGGACTTCTTAAATATAATCAACTTCTCCACTCTGGAATCTTTCAAAGTTTGAGTAGGATGCAATAATATGTAACCACAATTTGTTTCCCATCGTATCCAGTTCAAAAGGACACCTTCATCAAAGGTACTTTGGCAATTGTTTTTTGTATGGGGGGAACAAAAAAAAATCTGTTATTTTTATCTTGGTGGTGTCACTTATATTGAATACTGTAATGTGTTTTGTTTGAAACATAATTTGCGAAGAGCCTTTCCATGAATATTGTCCCTTTAAAACCTTAATTGTTTTTTTTTTTAAAAATGGCATATTGGGTGCCATAAACTTTGCATTCAGAAACGTTGACTTAAACTTAAACACCAAGCAAGTTCTCACTGAAGTCTTTCAGGGATGTATTTGTACAATTAAAAATGGCTTGTGAGAAAACCACTTCCTTGATCTTAATTTGTTTTAAACCCCACGGAATTTGGAAAGGTTATTTGATTTCTATCTCTACCTTGAAGTTCTGAAATTGTTTCAGAGACATAACTTCTTTGTGCTCTTTGAAGGCAACAAAACTGGCAATTTTTTGGCAATGTCACGTGATGTAATGAGCAATCACTGTAATCTTTAGGTTTCACGAAGTCCAGGGCACTATGCTAAGTTTCTTCGGCATTTAATTTATGCCAAAAGTAAAACACTTTTTTTTTTTTTGCTGTGTGAATTTCAAAGATTTTCAGTGATGTCCACTCAGAGGGCCTTGCCCTGCCCCATCTCCCCCTTGCTGCTCTCTACAAGCAGTCAGATCTTCAGCCATTCTGCCTCCATCCTGGAGCCCCTCCGCCTCGCCTCCTCCCTTGTCTCCTTTAAAGCCCGTCCCTTGACCGTCCTCTTTGACCTTGCCTTCCCACCACCAATCCCACTTGCCCTGTGCTTCTCTTGATTCAAACTTCCAGTTCAGATGCAAACCCTTCACTGTGCAGTCCTTTGGGACGTCCTCCCGATGTGTGAAGCGCTACATCAATGCAATTTGTTGTTGTTAAACTTTCATTTCAGTATAGATTTTGCCAAGTCTTAAATTTTATAAGCATTTTGATCAAAACAGTTAGTTGGATTTGAGGGTAAATATTTTTAGTTTTTCTTGAATAGATTTCTTAATCATTCTGCTCCTTCTCTACCTTTACTTTTACTCTTGTGTACTTTGAGTCTGAGACTGACGCATTGTGCGCAGTTTTTCCGCTGTGCACTTTAACCCACTAAATCTGGATTAAGAATGTTGGCCAACTTTATCCAATCAGTCTGGATTTAATTTGAATGCAAGTCTGGGGGGAGAAAGAACAAACTACTACTCAGTCTCGTGTAGTGTTTTACAGCAGGTAATGGAATCCATCATTTAACGTTTTAAGATTTTAAATCAGCGAGCTCCTGGTCTAAAGAGCTTTCTTTTTGACCATGCTTTCAGTCATCTTTCCCTCACCCCCCCCCTCCACTACCTTCCCCAGCTTGGGCTCCCAGTCAGCTCTGTGCAACACTTTAAATATTTTAAGACATCCTCCCAATGTGAAAGGCGCTATATATAAGCATAAATTGCTGCGGTTAGTCTGTAAGCTGCAGCTTTATCCACCACACCATCAGGGTTGCCTCTTTTAATATGCTTCTTAAAAATAGTTAACTGAAGATTGCACAGAAGAGTGAAATCTCTTTTCATTTCACTTGGACAAAGACCTGAACAAGTGCCTCTAGTGTTTGACGTCTTTCTGCTAAAATAAATATTACGCGGCTGGCCGAGAAACTGAACTCACTGAGGGGCAGGTTTGAGGTGAATGCACATCCTATATCACTGCAGCACCAATGGAGCCAATGTACTATGCTGCTGGATTGTCTGTCTGTACTGTTTAAGATATATATTCCGATCATCCTTCAATGTAGCTTGACATTATGATTGAAGGGCTAGAATGTGAGCAGACACGAATAAAAATACTGTAACTGTATGGTTGTATAGTTGTGTCTGCCTTCAGATGTCACATAACTTGTTCACTGAATTGCTGCATGATTTGTAAATCCAGGTTTTATTTTTTTTTAAAAAGTGGTGCTGCTGTTCAGTGAACAATAAACCGTCTGTTTGGTGTTCAAAGGTTCTTTATTAACATTTTCTTTATTATTCTTAAAAGTATAGGGTCTTTAAGATCAAATGCATCTTTTAAATATTTTGCTTTACTGGACTAGGAACCAATATTAAGCAGGTAATTACCTTTGCCGGTTGGGAATCAGTATTGAACTGGTTCCAATGTAATTTTGATTGATTTGTTCTTATCCAGGGTTGTCTGGTGTTTTTATTTTATAGAGCTTTCCACCACATTCAGTTTCACCTAGAGACATCAACCCCAGTCTTCCCCCAATGTCTAGCTTCCATCGAGGTACCAGCTCCTCTCCTTATGTTGCAGCCTCACACACCCCACCAATCAATGGATCAGAAAACCTTTTGGGTATGTTCTAAGAACGCATTGACCTCCCACCCCCAAGTGGAAAATAGTGGCTAGCTGGTTAGTGTACATGTAAAAATTGTGTTGCGTAACTTGCAACTTTGTGCCTTAATACTTCGTAGATTTGTTATGCAGTAAACCTGATGTATGGAACACAAATCCAGTTTTTCTTTAACCACAATCTAATGTTTAGCTGAACTTTTGAATGAGTGTTTTATGCTCTAATTATGTTGTGCATAGGGAACAGAGGAAATACAACTGGGGTTTCACAGACAGGTGATGCACTTGGAAAAGCTTTGGCATCTGTGAGTACTGAATTAAACCTTTTAGCATCTTTTAAAAAAAACTTGTATTGCCTGACTTAATTTTTTTATGGCTATCAATTCAATACTGACACCTCCCCACCCCCCCCATTCCCCAACCAATCTTTAGAGCCAAAATACTGACCTCAAGTGTGGTTCATTTTCCAGTCTCCACTGACAAGTTTGCTTATTTAACCCTTTGAGGACAGCGGTGACATTTCTTCCCAAAAATGTAAGGTTGCAATTGTCCTGAAGTTTAAAGAATAGCATTTTGCAGATGTTTGTAGAAAACATCCCTACTTTGAAAGCTGCAAAGGACATTCAGTACTCAAAGGGTTAACTCATATTTCCAGTGTAGTTTTATGGCTGAATTTGTATTTTCAATTTGAGTTCTCTTTCAAATTGGCATTAGTTTAATGCTTTTCTTTAAAAAGAAAAATAAAAAGCATCTTTTCTGGTGCACAGTAATAATATCAGCAGTCTTGTAAACGCTCCCAATTTAGGGAAAATACTGACCCAACAGAATTATTCTAAGTTTGACGTTATCCGAAAGGTATAACTGATTAGTCACATTAGGTAGACTAAACCCTACTACTAATATTTGGATTATGGTAATTAAATATTCATAAACACTAAGCAGTACATAATCCAAAATGATAGTTATAAAAATGTGGAATAGGGAAAAATGTCAGGTGACAGTTTTTAAGCTTCAATGTGTACTTTGGACTATTTTGTAGGGAAATCTTCCTTTTTGATTATATTTTAGGCTTTGAAGATCTGTCCTGGAAAATATCTGGTGGGAGAGACGCTTAGAATTTAGATCACAGACCAGAGGGAGGAGATTACCTTTTTTAAAAAAAATGCACTGAATCATATTTTATTTGCAACACATTGTTGGAAGAAAATGCTAGTATGCACAACACATGCTCAATTGTAATGCACATTGTGTAATCATAGAAATGCTTTACACCCGTTTTCAGATTTGGTCTCCATTTATTTACTTTATCATTTGAAGAATAACAGCTGTGCACATTTTTACAGGTTAGGATAGGTTATTAAAAATACAGTCCATGAATGAAGCCTATTGAAGATCCAAGCAGTGCTTTGGCATGTTCCACAGTGTGTTGGGTTGTTGAATGAACTAACACAGGTGCACACGATTTCTGTGTTTATAGTACTACCTCAATGGAGATAGCTCTCCTTTAAAATACGCGCATAGTTTAAATACTGCACGATAAATATTGTATGCTCATTTGTTTATGAAACAGTACTGTTATCCTGACTTTTCCAAAGACTGTACATCTCCGAAGCTGAAGTGTTTTTTTTTAAAAAAAAACAATATTTGTGACTGTTTAAAGTTAAATTTGCGAAAAGAGGAATTCAGATCATCTGTTTGTTTACAGTTCAAAATTGAGCATTCATTTTCTTATGAACCAATCAGCCTTTGCGTGAGCCAGTTTTCTGTTACAGTTTGTGTTAAATAAGTGTAAAAGAAAATTGGCTCACAGAGAGACTGTACAATGTGTGTAAAAGTTGTAAAATTTTGACCCAAATCCCTTCATGTCTCTCTGGTTCATCTGGACCAGTGTCCAGAAATTGTGATTGTCGCGCGTGACTTTTTTAGGAATAAATAAAATGAAGGAGCTTCTAAAATATAATTGTAAAATGGTAGGGTGGCAAAATGGGTTGCTCCCTCTTTCCATTTCTTGTGTTCTACAGTTTTGCTAAATATTAATTGAAATGCACATAAATCTCTAGATTTTATTCTTCCTTTTCTTTCTCTTTCCCCACCTACCCCCACTCCCTCCTCTCCCCCAAACGTAAAAAACTACTCATCTGAGTAAGTAAGATTGCTAGGTTGGAGGAAAGTTGAATACAGAGGTATCCAAGGCTTACACAATCCAGTGCTGCTAGTCTGAATAGTTACTATTTGTGCCAAAGATAATAGTCTGGGCTGACTGGGAGCAGCTGTTATTTAGTTGGGTCTGTCTTAGTAACACTTATTCAGAAATCGTAGCAAATGATTTAGAAGTGGAGAGGAAACTTTCACTGCAATAAATGTGTGAAAGTTGACAATATTACTGTTTATTTTTGTGCTTCACAAGACGTGTGAATGACTTGTGCAGGGAAATGGATTGCTTTTTTCCTCCTCCATTTGTCAACCACAGACGATATCAAGCCCTCCCAGGTCAGGTTTAATCCTATATACACTGTGCGCAAGAAGTGCGATTCCATCCTTCTCCCAAAAGCGTGATGTGGGTGTGTACGCACTTGGGTACGGGGTTTGAGACTGCTCTGGATCATTTCATGAAGGCACTTTACAGACAGTGGAGAAAGGAGGCCTTCATCCAATGGTCTTGCGTTGAATTCGAGCCAGAATTCTCTCGAAGCGAAAGTTTAATGTGCTAATCCACTGAACCCTACAGTCCTTCGTTTTACGTTTTTCATATGGAATGTAACGATCTTATAAAATTATAAATTACCGACAATTGAAATAGTCGCTCGGATTGGTAAAGCAAGCTGTGCGCCACGCGAAATGTGACTGCAAGGAATTGAGTGCGACAACTTTTCCTTGAATTATTACTTGGAACAAATCGCCTGGTTTTAGAGGAAAGGCCGGGACAGAAATGTTTCATCTCAATAGTGGGTGGGCATTGGTTGCTACAGTAACGTGATTCTGTCATCCTGTGTTGCTTGGCAGGAGCTGCTAGGTCACTCCATAAATCATTTCTGTCATAGCTGATGGTGATGCATTCCATCTGCTCTATCAGTGCATACCACAGTCTGTGGAGTACAAATCCCTCATTTTCCCAGTCCCATCTGTTTTCCCTGACTTTATGCAATTGTTTCAACATTAAATTTGTAACACCAAAGTTCTTTTGGAGGGTGGAAAAAAAACATCTGTTGCAAATTATCAAGTGAATAAAACTCGTTTTGCACGCAGCGCTGCGAACATATCCAACATATTTTCAATCCTGATTTTCAGCATAAAATTTGAATTTCATCTATACTTTTTCTTTCTGACCTAAAACTTGCCCTGCTTGTCGTTAAGCAGTTTGAGATAGTCACACACTCCATTTTCAAATGATATGAATTGATAACATGAACCTGTTCACCTAGCCATTAGAGTTCACAGAAGATGTCTATAGTGCAGGGTGCATCCTAGTAAATAATCCCAGGTAGAGTAAAATTGACGTCTTAGTGGACCAGTGACCATGCTTTTATTTGGGGACCCAATTTCAAAACTGAACCAATGTGCCTTTGAAAATCTTATGGGTACTTTCTAATGTGTGTGTGTGTTAAAGTACAGTACTGGTCTCTCTTTTTCTGCAGGTTCTTGGATAAAAGAGTAGTAAATAGATCATTGTTTTAGAGAGAATTCTTCAACAGTGCAGCGCCACACATTGTAGACGAGTAAAAATGCTGCTGTACTGAACATGGAAAAGGAATTGTTCAACTGCACCAGAGTAGACCGACTGAGTTTGCCCTTGAGCCATATGTTGTGACCACTGCATTGTACTAATTAAATGTTGTTTGGTAAAAATGACTGCACTGCTCCGGGGACTAACTGATGCAAATATTTTCTTTGCAGGCCTCAATTGGGTTATAATTTTAATGTATTGCCTGATTGATACCTGCTTTATATGCCAATCGTGCAGGGAACGTTAAATCAATTATTTTGTCGAGGTTCATGATTTGTGTCCCATTTTCAGAAGCGTACCGGAATCTGTGCAGATGTTCTGTTTGACATTTTTACTCCAGATTGATCTGCAAAGTTTGCAGGAAAATTCTATATATAATGTAATGTCGCCCTTTATTTGTTAAATTAGAAAATAGATACGTGTGTGGATCTTTTATTAAAGTTTTGCCACTTTAACAGAGATATTTCAATCATCAGCTCATCTCATTCTTCCTGTTTCTTTTTCCTCAATCTCATTTTAATAAATGATCTGCTAAGCTTTTCTGCTGTTCTAAACTGGAGTCTGAAATGGACATTTTTATTGATTGTTTTTCTTTGTGCTACACTAAATTGTTGCTTGTTGGACATGGACACTGTTGCGATGTTGTCTTCTTATCTTCTTATCCTGCACTTTTCCCATTAAAGCCATTAGAACAGCACCAACTTTTTTTTTAAAAAAAAGGTCTGGCAAATGGTTTATGCTTTTCTAACGTATCAAATGATGATGCAGATTATAGCAAAACCGATCGTTGCATCACCTGCACTGATGGCAGGACTGAAATGGTACATGTCTTTTCTGAGTCTTCTCCATCCCCCCAAAAAAAGATATGCCAAACATTTTGTAATGAAGATGGTGCTCTTAAAATAAAACTAAGTTATTCTTTAAGAGCGTGCATCACTTTTGCATACATACGTTTTTCAATGTATTTCAAAAATCTGTGCAAATCTACTACATATTCCTTTTACGTGTATGCCCACAAACTGATGTATTATAGCAGAAACATCTGGTTTATTTCAGCATTTAGTGCCAAACCAGAAGACTTGGATCTTATGCAGTTTAACAGTGCAGTTTTTTTTAAACCAAAGCTTCGTCCATAACAAATTAAATCTTTTTTTTGTAGTTATTGAGATTTTGCAGTAATAGCTGTTTCAATAGCCCTGTTTCACTGATTTGATTTGTACATGCATGAAAAAGGCTTTGGTAAACAAGCCATAAATGAAGGTCTCTTAAATTGTGGTCTTAATAAAATTACCTGTGCAAAGATGTGTAAAATCTAAATAGGCTTAAAAATAAAACCTCCAGGGATAGAATGTGGGTGGCATTGCATTCACCTACTCATAATCCTTACATTGGCAACCGAGTAATGAACACTTGAGAAGTGGAGCTTCATTTATTGTTTAAAGAATGTTCACAACAGAAGGTATTCGGAGGAATGGTTTCTGTCTGCTGGGTAGTTATTCGATTACATCTGCAACTGTTTTACTGAAAAATGCTTTGTTGAGTTATAGGTTTCTCAAGAATTCACTGTGCCAGGGCTTTTTTTTGGCTTTGGAAGAAATTAAAACTGGATGCATAAAAGCTTCATTAACTCAAACCCTCAATTTATCTATCTGCTATGTCAGCACCTGGTTAAAGAAGTAGATGTGTTTCATTATAAGGCCTTATACATTAATGGTTGTGTGGAGTATCACCTGATGAAAATATCAGCACAGAGTTTGAAATTTCTCAGAGTTGTGTGCCCTGATCTTTCTCTTCTGATGACAAATACGGATACAGAGTCCTGTAGCTCAGTAGTTAGAGCACTCGCTTTGCAAGTGAGAGACCTGAGTTCAATTCCAGGCAGAGGGCGAAACCTTGGGCAAGTTTCCTTACTCCACACGCCTAATAATAATCCCTCCAAAAACCAAAAACAATAATAAATTGGTCATTTTCAATCTACGACTGTTTGTGGGACATTGCTGTGCGCAATTGGCTGCCGCGTTTGCCCACAAATATACCGTCAATTCACTTTACAGTGTGTTCTGTGAAGCGCTTTGGGAAGTCCTCCTGACGTGAAAAGTGCTATACCAATGCAAGGATTATTATTATTATTATAAATCCTATTTGTATGTGGAGGCATAATATTGTGCCAAACACGGTCACTAATCCAAAACTGTAACTTGCACTGCATTTGTTTAAATAGATAGAAGGTTTCTTAAATGCGTTGATACTTTTGTGCCCGTGTCAACAAAGAATGTATTCTGTGGGTTTTGACGTGTTATTTGAAGGTGGGCTCTAGAATTTTAAGCCTTCCAAAATGTTACGAGCATCTTTATAGCCACTTGGATGTTGAGCCAGCTGGGAGGATTAATGGATCCAGTTTTTGCAACTCGTTTGTTGCAAAATTGCTGCATTACCTACAGAAGAACTGAATCAAAATTTGGCAGATATTGCAGTTGTACAATATTCATACATGTAACAAGTAAAATAACATTTCCTTTTGGCAGATTTATTCACCCGATCACACCAGCAGTAGCTTCCCATCAAATCCATCAACACCAGTTGGATCTCCGTCACCTCTGCCAGGTAAGTTTTGTTTTCAAAACTGCATTCTAAGTTTGGAAAAACATCCACATTTCGATCCTAAATGAGAAACCTGGCAACTCCCAAAGTGTGCAGAGTCCTGACAAATTAGGAGCCGTATCTTGATTGCAATTCCATTTTTACCTCACAAAGTATTGTGCAACTGACAAAACGTTGACTCTTTAATTTAAGATTTAAACCTCAGGGTTTTATGTTTTGCGCACTAAAATGTTACCAGCCAACCCATTCCCTCCACTCAGCAGGCAGTGGCCTGCTCCTTGTCCTCTGCCCTGTCCACTCCACCATTGGCAGTCGGGCTTTCTGCATTTACAGCTGTTTGAAACATATATTTAGGGAGCATCAAATTCTTGATATGCTGATTTTTTTAAACTTTTTTGAAATTGGGATATGTTTCAGGTTTCCAATCCAGCACATTACAATTTAATAGGAATATCTATATTTGATGTTGCTCCTTATCATGCCGAACACTTTCAAACTATGGTTTACTTTAAAGTGCAGTGACTGCTGTGTAGGGGAAAATGCGACAGCTAATCTGTTTCAGCAAGGTTTCACCAACATCAATAGCTTGTTCGCCACCTTCCAAACTTTGTAAAGATTGAATGTAGGTTTTGGAAAACTTGATGCTGGGAGTGTCTATATTTACTGTATTTAGCATTTGTGGAAAGTTAGTTTGAGTCCAAAGCAAGTTGCTTATAATGAATGCATTGCAATACTTTCCAGCTGCTCAATAATTTGAATGCTGTTTTAGGAGTTTCCATGAAAGTTGCCATAGAATTAATGTGGACCTCATGTTATTAACAACATTATTCTGGTTAAACCTGCGACGTAAGTCAACTTGGCTAAACTTTCCACAGACACTGTCGTAATATCCAGTGTTTGTGTTGCTATATACATTACTGTAGTTGGCTATTGAACCTTCATTTAGATTGGCATTTGTTTTCATGTAGGTCTTGCGTTGTATAATAGACTCCTCGTCGATTAGTGGCTCTTTCCATTGCATCTGTTATCTGTAGAACAATTTATATGAGAATCTTTTATTCAGATTCATTTACTGTTATTCAGTTATCTGATTGCTGTGAAATGTTACAGTATAGATGAGGTACAAATGTCCGCTATATCGAGATCCATTGGATCCTGCCACGTACACTGAGTTTATCTCAGCTGCTTATCTCCAGTTAGACAGCTGATGTTAATCAGACACCTCGCTTAAGACTGACTTTTTTTTAAACGCAGCAGTTTGGGAAGTCAGAATTCTAGAGAGGGTGATCTGACTTACCCTGGGACTTGTATTTATCTTTAATTTACGATGGAACACTGGTTACAAAATTATGTGTATGTAGAGTTGGAAGATGGTTGTGAATATTGAGCTGAGTTTTTTTTTTGGGGGGAGGAAAAAAAGTGCAAAGCTTTAGTTTGAATCTGTGAGAATCTACTGAACAGCTGCTTTGGGCAGTTCGTACAGTAATAACTAAACGCTTCTTGTTGAATTGTGTAATGAGGGATTAATGAGTTTCTCATTTGATTCGGTGGTCACATTGAAGATGAAAGTGCCGTGTGTCAATTTGATATGTGTGATCTTGCAGAACAGAACTGGAGGTTTACACAGGTGCAGTTTGCTGATTACAAAGCAGCATTTCAAAGCTGTTAGCGAGAAAGACATCCCAATTTTTTTTAATTCGCACTTTTGTGTAACATTTTTCTGGAGTAGGATTACAGCAAATCCTATTTTTAAAAAGTATGAAACTTATTTTTTCAAAATTTGGATCTAGATGTCATTAATTTTACACACTTTGATCAATTTTACACCTTTTCTCTGTGGGTGGAAAATGTTGTGAAGGATGCCCTTTCGATGGAAAAGATAGCAGGTTTGACGCAGCAAAATCTTGAATGCCTTCACTAGATCCTCCAGTTAGCAGTCTTAATAGGACTCAGCCTTCTGGCTAATTGATTTCCCCCCCTCCATTAACCAACTCAATTTTAAATTACAGATTTCATTCTTAAATGTACTCTCCGTTATGGAAAGCTGTCAGCTTGGCTGTTCGCTCGGTCAGTTAGCATTCTCGCCTTTGGGTCAGTTATTGGTCAAGTTTTACTGTCTTTTAGCTCATAGTCTAGGCTGACCCTCCAGTTGGGAGCACAGTATTGTTAGAGATGTGGTCCTTCTTGTCAGATATTAAAACAGAGGTTCCATCTTCTGGTTCAGGTGGTCTTTAAAGTCCCCATGATACTGTTTGAAAAGATAGCGGAGTTTCTCCCGATCTACTTACTGTCCAACAATTCTCCAAATCAATTGGTCATTCATTGCCTACTTATTTGTGGGCATTGCCGAGTGTGAACAAATTGGCCGACATGTTTGCCTACAAATAATCATGACACAAGACAGCAAATGTCTACAAAGTGCTTTGAGATGTTTCGATGATGTAGGCATTATATTAACTGTAAGCAATATTATTATTACCTGCAGCGATGAGAAGCCTTATTAGACGGTCATTCTTCAGTGTGAACAAAAGACATTGACAGTTACCAGGCAGTGTTTCATTGATGACACGTGAATTTTGTTAGTATGATGGGCAGACAAAGATGGTATGGGAAGAGACGGTTTATGTTACAAGATTGCAGCCAGTTCACATTGGTACATTTTGGAATGGCCACAGGAATGAAATGTACCCTCGAAAGAGTCCGGATTAAGTTGGAACCGGTTCAGTACTTGGAGTTTTGGTTAATAATTTGGAGACAATTCCAGCCTCAGTTAAAAAGAAAGGGTTGTTATGAACAACACAAGTCTTGGTAGATTTTGTTGTACCTAACGAGAAAGTAACGTAGAGATCACCCAATATCCATTGTAGGGTTTAATATGAAATGCGAGCACATTCTTCCTGAAAACTTTCACAGCTGTAAAATGTAATTATTCTGAAATTCATCACTGCCAGTTTCTAAATGTGATGACTGGGCTCAGCATGGCATGATTCCAACTGGTAGCAATCTGATGAACAGACATCCGTGCGTTCAAAGTGATTAGCTTTTGTCACTGAGGTAATCACTGAATTTTTATGGTGGTGTTTCTTGTTCAGAATGCTTTTTTTTTTACATCTGTAAGCTGACAATTTGAAAAGAAATCAACAAATATTAGTTCAGTACAACCCATCATTGCTGAATGGTACCACATATAGTATTACATTTCATTTTCATATTTTGCAATAGATATTGAAAGGTACATTCTTGTTTCATACCTGCTGCGTAATGCTCCAAATTGTATTTTACAATGTATTTTCTGTGAAAATGTGATCTGTTTACACATTAAAATATTTCAAAGGATTGTACGGTGAATGTCTGATATAGTCACTTTGCATTGATTTATCTGAATGCAAAGGGACATACCTGACATATTTTGCTTCCCAGGGAGCCTGAACATATTTATTTTTTATTCCAAACACTTTTTGAAATCGTACATTCATTGTCTCTGTGTGTTTTAAAGCTTGTATTTTTTTTCAAATTGTACACTGAGATGCAACTTCCTTTGGACATCTTGATCTAAATAGGTGCTAACCAGTGGTCTCGATCAGGAGCAAACCCATCATCTCCCAGCTATGAAAACTCTCTTCACTCACTGGTAAGACAGACTGGACCCACTTTGTGAAATCCTTTTTCTGCCAAATGTAGTTTGAATATGAAAGCTTAGAATTGGTGTATGGTTATAATATTGCTGAGTGCCAATTCTTCTAGCAAATGAGCTGGAGAAAATCAACAGTGAAGGCCGTAATCACCGTTATTGATGCATCAATCCACTTTTCATGCTTATTTTCTACAAGTAAATTTTGGTCCACTGATTTCTTTTAACGTTCTCCACTTTTCCATTTTAACAATACATTTAGCTAATTTACTCAGTGAAATTGATTCTCTTGGCAATCTTCTATACTGACATCATGTGCAGTCTCCCTCATCCCCACTGCCTGCCCCCCCTCCCCCCAAAACACATTCTGAGGAAGGGCAACAGAATTGAGGTGCTCATAGGAGAGTTACTTTTCCACTAAGACGCAGAAAGATTTAAGAGAACGGGTCATTCTCCAAGTTGCTGGTGCAGATGGGAATTACATATGGTGTGTGATCAAAGGCAGAAACTGTAGATTAGATAGGGAAAAGAAAAATTGTGTTCAATTTACTTTCCATTTAAACAGCCTGCATGTCTGTTTGTACTCTGAAATGAGCACGGAATAATTGATATCTAAATTTCCGTTCACTTCTTTTAACAGCTAAAATAGTTTCAACATTCACTTATTTAACCCATTGGCTTGGCTTAGCTTTCTAAGTGTTTTTGTTTGTATTAATGCCTTTTGCTTGTTCTGTCTTGGCTTTACCAGAAAAATCGGGTTGAACAGCAACTTCATGAGCATTTGCAAGATGCAATGTCTTTCTTAAAGGATGTCTGCGAGGTACTATTTCTCTTACAACAGTACATTTCCATCCCTGATTCGCCATTCCAAATCGGTCAGCCATTTGCATGAACTACAACACTATTCCATGAATCTCTTCTGGCCTCAAAACACAATTTTACTTTGTTTTAAATCATTCCTGTTTATTCGAAGATTTACACATCAGAGAAAGAAGCATGTCAAACAACTGTTTGTTCATTGTACTGGAGAAATCCATAGATTTTAAATTGTCCCTCAAATGGAATGTCTTTTCCTTTTTTTTAATATTAAAAAAAACTCTACCAGATATCCACATAATTTGAACTTCTTTTCCCACCAAATGCCTGTAGCTGCTGTTGCAACCATTTGTGTTTTTGTGGTCATTTTCTTTCTGGTTATACCCTAACGCATTAACTGACGCACAGTGTATTTACCTTTATCAGACGTGTGCCAGAGAAAATACGTTCGTTCTATCACCGTATTTGTCTCAACAGCAGACTCGAATGGAGGATCGCTTAGACCGATTGGATGATGCTATCCACGTTCTAAGAAACCATGCTGTAGGGCCTTCAACAAGCATGTCTGGTTGCCATAGTGAAATGCATAGTTTACTGGGACCATCACAAAATGGGCCAATTGGAGGATTGCATTCAAACTATGGAGCATCTGTGCTGGTAACTTCCAGTCGACAAGCATCAATGGTAATTATTTTCTATATTAAGAAAAGCAGAAAGCTGCCGAGTTCTTTATTGATTGATTTTAGTTTCTACAGCAACTATTTGAAAGGAAAGTTGATTGCCGTAGCAAAAAGCAATTATTGAAATAAGGTTTTGATAACCCAGTTGGATTTCGAGTGTCCACTCGTGTAACAGATCAATACAATGAACTGTTCAGGTTTAATGCAGCAGTCAAAATGTATAGAACAGTATTTGTGGCGTTAGCCACTATATCTTTAGCTACTATACCTCTGGGTCTGGAACTTTGCCTTGCTACCCTACTCCTTGCCTTCAGAAAACACCCAAGAAAAAGCATCTCTTTGACCATGACTTCATCGACATCCTTAAATCTCTCATTTTCATTTCCTTGCTTGGTTTTGAGCTCTTTGAGACACTTTTGCATGAAAGATGCTGGATAAATACATGTTGTCACACTTTAAACTGCAACTATGTACAATTGGACTCAACCACAATGTGTAAGAGATTTTTGTTTGATATTATGTTGTAAGGCATTTAGCTTTCTTGTTTGAATGTGACTGTGCTTGACTTCAGTAAATATCAATGAGAGGTGGAAAATCTATTGTAGCTGTCAATGATGGTATGTGTCGTTTATAGGTTAAGTTCTATTCTGAATGTTTTTTTGCTACACATGCAAATTGTGGTAAAGCATAATCTGCTGCCACAGTACGATTACCGGCATTTATACTACATTGCTGATGTGGACGTGTTCTGATTGGACAGCTGTTGTGAATTAAAATGTCGAAACAACACAGTAATTTTCAAATGCTCCCAATTTCTCAATCATCCACATCAAAGATAGGTTGATGCAACCATGTCAATCGTCACTCTTGTGGCTTTTTGGTTGGCTGAGAGATAATTCAGTGTCTCGGGACAGTTTTTGCCAAACTAAACCTACTTCCTTTAATGTGGCTCCCACGATCTATTTTGGAAGTGAGAATTTTGGAGGCTGAAGAAATAACTCTGTTTCATTTTTGAAAGAAAGTTTCTTTCAAAATGAGATCGGACAAGAAACATTAAAAAGTCACAGGAAGAATGGAAATGGGGAAAGAAAAGCAAAAATGTTTGTTAATTTTAATTCTGCTGTTTAAGATACTTTTGAAATGATTAGAATTTTGGATTAACTATTTATAACAGTGCACAAGATCGATGTGAACATTCAATCTAAAGAGTTTAATTCTTTTACATAAATGGATTGCTCTTTAAGTTCCTTTCCTCATGCCTACAAAACACTTAGTTTTATGACAAGCTTTTAAGCTTTTCATTCATTTTCCAAGTCAAAGAAAGCTATCTATATTTGGAAAAAACTATGGATTTTATTATCTGTAGGAGTGTAGTTTGGAAGTTGAAAGCTTTATTGAAAATATTTAGCAAATTATATTTTTAGTCGAGCCGAATTATCAGGAATAAATTGAAATCAAATTAACTCCATGCAAATTTAATTTGAATAAATAGAAATGATTTACGTAGGGGTCAATTTGATTAAAATGTGCACATGCATATATTGCACTTTGTCCTACATTATGTAAGCCTACATTTAGAACTTGGTTTCTTTAACGGAATTTACTGTTAGTATGGCAAATTTCATTTATACCCACAAAAATAAAATGGTTCTCGAGTATTTGAAACAAGATGGGGTTATTATCAACACTTTCTGGAGTATATTTTTGTGCATACAATTTAGTGATCATTTATAAGGTGAAGAAGATTGGTTCACTTTGGTGCTTAGTTATTGCTGACATGACTGTACACACCCATCTTGATGTAGGGTATCACGAATAGTGAAGGATTAAGGATTGATATGTAAATAATCGATTACCAGGGAATACTGTGCCAAATTTAGTTTCTATTTTTTTTCACATGATGGCTGAATTTTGCATTATTGCAGGATTTGTTGTGTAAAACTTGTTTAGTAGAGTAATTATTATCGTTAACGGCTAAGTCTCTGTTCCATGGACAGTTGTAGTTACTACAATGAAACTCAGGATACTGCCTTAAGAAAAATCATCAAATTCACATTAAGTCTCTGAGTTTAGCCAGTCTATAATTGAGCCAGTTTTGTAGTAGAGAAAAAAACTTCTTTCATGGCATTAAATCTATAAGAATATTATTCATTTCTCAAGACTAAATGAGGGTTCTCTGGACAGCAGGAAAATTGAGGTAAAGTACACCTGCTTTGTGGTCCAAATGTATTCCTTCCCTCTTTCCCAATCTGCAAAAGAAAACACTGCAAAGCCTTGTGAGATTCTGCTGTAATCATATGGAGAAAATCATTTCCACAGAGAATTTTTAGATTATAGTTGCATTTTTTCCAGATGTGTAAGAACTGGCACAAATGTCCTTGAATTTTATGGAGCAAATGGGTAAAACAGGCGAGCTGGGCCTGAGCTGCAGAAACTTGGAAAATTACTTTGAGAAATAGAGCTAGCCAAAACGACATGAACAGAGAAACAAGCTGCAGGAATGTGGTGTTTAATTTGTGATTCTGAAATTGAGCCTTTTTTAGCGAAAGGGTTTGAGCACAGCTGTAGTGGAAGTATCAGTGGAGGGAAGCAATATGTACATTAGTCCCCGGACAGTATCAATTGATCGTACCTTCCTTGAAAATGTGGGAACCATTCATACAGCAGATAGAACCATAGAAATGCAAGGTGGCCGTTTGGCCCATTGTATCTGTGCTGCCTCTTTTAAAAGCAATTCTTTCAGTTTTATTGACCTGCCCTTTCCCCATTACCCCGGTACTTTGCTTCGTTTTAGGTATTTGGTTCCATTTTGAAAGCTAATATGGGTTCTGCCTCCCCCTTATCCTACCTATTCTCTATGGGGAAAAAAATTCTAATCTCTCCATTTGCTTGTTTACTAACTATAGATGAAACACATGGACGTCCACAGCCTGACTGTCTTCTGCCACCTTCTTCTCATTCCAGTCCACACTTCAAAAACATAGAATTGCATAGAAAATTACAGCACAGAAACCACCGGTTATTCAGTCCAACTAGTCTGTCCGTGCCCATGTTTAGACTCCACACAAATGCCATCCATCCTGCTTAATCCTTTCTCCTTTTCCTCCCTCTGTTGTCTTTTCCCACATGCATGAAACCAATTTTAATCGAAACTTACTTGAGGCTTGAACCTTCTAATTGGACTTGGAGGAAACTAACATTCCCATCCTACCACCAAAAAAATCTTGTTCGAAATGACTTGTCCTCCAAGGGAAAATGAATTTAAGCTGTTGATGAGACCCACAAAATATTCATGGTGCCCAGATGGAAGTGTAGTGAAGATATACTGACAGGACCACTGCACTGTATTCATTGAAATTTGAGGGAATTCTTGAAAAGGATGGTTGTAAATTAACTTTGTGACAAAGCAGCCGAATACTCTGGGCAGAAAATGCACTTGATTTCTGGTTTGCTCCTATAAAAGAACAGGGCAGTCACATCTCAACATTGCAGTTATTTTTTTTTGTTGCATGGTCCTATTACAGTTTGAACCGATTCCAGACTCATTCTTGCATTTGGGAACAATTTATTCTAATTCTACAGTCATGGCAGTAAACATCAAAGCCTTTGGACCCCTGAGAATAATAAATTGGGCAAAATGTCAAGATTCTATTTTTTTATTTCCACAGTTTGGACTGGAGCATTGAAGGCAAAAAAAAAATAATTGGTAAACTTTACAGGGTTAGATAATGCAAGGTTTTCCTTTTTTTTTTGTGGTGTGGTGTTCGGACAGGTTCACTGGTGAAAATCTTCTTTATATGTAAAACCACGTAAATCTATTTTTTTAAAAAAAATATTTACACTGTATTGGATTTTTATAAAATCATGCAAAACCGGGTATTTAGATGTGTGTAGGTAGATTTTTAAATAGTGTTTATAGCCAATCCTGTGTGTGTATGTGTGTGTGTGTCTATATATATATGTGTATATATATATCCCTGATGTATTATTAATTTGCAACACATTGCTTTAAAAATCACGTTAAATCTCATGCATCCACTATTGCTCCAGCATAACAAATGCTTGCATCATGCTGCCAGATGGCATGATGACAATTTTAAAATATGTGTTCGATTTCCCCACCCATACCAAATGTTACTGGGCAGCAGTGGCTGCAGAATAGCTCACATCAAAAGAAGGTCTGAGGCTGGTCTGAGCCAGTTTGGAGTTCAGGAGTTGGTAATGATTCCTTTCCGAAATAGATTTTGACAAACTAACACTCACCTGTGACGTCTGTTTTAAAACACTGAACAGTGTGTTATCTTTCTGAAGAATTTGACTCCAATGAAAAATATTAAAAGTACACCAGTTTGTTTCTTCTCCGGTTGTTTGTAGAGCACTGTTATGTTAAGGGAACTTGTTCGCAGGATTTTCTCTCTTGACGTTTTCTATTTACATGTATTAGTGTTTTGATGAAGGCTGAACACACTGTTTTTATGTATCTTACACAACTCTAGAAAGATATTTCTAAGTGCTTGTAATAAAATTATTCCTCCTATGTATAAAATTACTGTCGAGCCGATTGCATATTAAATGCTGGATTGTGGATGGAATTGGTGCACAAGCGCCACCGTGTGTTCAGAGTGATGGTGGTGTTTGATTTGCTCCTTTAGCCTTTGCAATTTTTCCATTTGTGTCCCACTTTTTTTGTGTAGTTACTATCCGATCTTTCGTGGGTAAGTTGGAAAATTCCACATCTAGTTTTTCAGGTTGAAGGCTAAGAAAGCGTCTGCAGGAGTAGAGCATGCATGGAATTGGAAGAAACTTGTATATTAATCAGACCATTTAGTCATCTATCCATATAAAACAAATCCAACTTGATCACAAAACTATCCATGTAAACAATTGATTTCAATGCGACTATTTGAAGTGGACAAAACCATGGATACTACAATGGATACTGAAAAATAGTTTTATGTCCTTTATCAGGAGATTATTGTAATTAAATGGTTGAATTGAATTTTAAATTCAGTTATTGCCAGAAAATGAAAAATGAAACTGAAGATTATGAGAGCAAATTTAGTTTTATGAATATGAGTAACACAGAATACTGTAATTATATCTTGAGCTGTGCATAGTATAATTAAAAATCAAGTATTAAATAGTAAAACAGTTAACATAGCTTGGAAATACCATGGAAAATTCATTGTCAGGATATCAAGACAATAACAATGGATGTTGAAACAAAAACAGAAGTCGCTGGGAATGCTCAGCTGGTCAGGCAGCATCTATGGAGAAAGGAAAGTGAGTCCACATTTCGGGTCCATGACCCTTCGTCAGAACAATGGATGCTACTGCTTGGATCTCAAGTCAAGAGTCTTGACTTGAGAATCTGTATGAAAGGAGAGGGCTAACAGTGGGCTGCAGAACTCACTTGGTTTTAGTCGAAGTGATTACCTATTCTAATTGATATAAGGTTATCTGAGGCTAATTTAGGGATTAAAATAAACTACTGCTTGTTTACTGTCAGTTTGTGGAGAATTAAAAAAATAATCTGGGATTAATTTTGAGATTCATCAAAATGGAGGAGAATGAGCGACAACCTCAAAACATCTGTTGTAATAAATCGTAGTTCTATTTTGGGCAATAATAACAAAAGTTAGCCTTTTTGAGCTTCTGCACTTTTTGATATCAATTTAGCATTATTACTACTTCACCAATTCAATGCCGCCATCCTACCTGAAGACACTTTTGATGGAAAAAAATTCAGAATGACTTTGTTCTTAAATCTTCATGCTTAGGAAAGAAAACACATTTTAAATGAGTCAGACATTCTGAATCAGTGCGTTTTTTAAAAAAAGCAGGCGAGCTACCATTGCTACTATAGTTAAACCTGATAGTTGAACATATGCTATTTTAATTAGATGCCTTCTGGGAGTAAATTAGACATATGTGCGCCCAAGAGCAATTTTGGGGTTTGGCATTCACAACGACACTTCTAATGGGAGAAGTTTACATTTCTGATGTTTTCAGTTTTCCAGAAAATTTAAGTGAGTAAATAGTGTGGCACTGAGTCATTCAGTTAATCAAGATACGAGCAAGGGCGGTGTTAAATAAGCTCATCCTAACAAGGATGGCGTTAGTCACTAAATTATCAGGTGTCTCATGCCATCATTTCATTTCATTAATCCACTCACCAACCAGTAGGATTGCAAGGTCAAGCTCCACCATTCCAAATGAATGTGTTCCAGCCTGAAGGTGCAAATCTTTTCATTGGGTCATTGTTCAGCATTATCGAACCATGATTTCTGTTGATATTTCCTCTTTTCTTAAATTGTCCATCAAATATGATGCGTCCAAGCTCTTCCAATGCTGCAGCAGATCACCTGTTTAAAGTAGGATATTGTTGCCTTCGTTTCTTCCAATAATTTCCTTCCTCACTCCCAACTCTGGAAGAACGGAGCCCCTGCTGTCCTCATTGCCTTGAGATAAGGAGGGAGAAAAATATCAGTCTGGATTCTTGATCACTGTTTTCGTGCTGTAATAAAAGTGAAGTATTTTTGATTCCTGCACCATTTTATATTCATATCGTTGAATACATTCATATTCATAGAACGTTTGAGTTTTGACTTATTAATTCGCAAAAAAAGAAATGGGACAACGACACGTTAAAGATTATTACTAAAGCTACATTTTAGAGCTTGCCAAATAAAGTGAATTGTTTTTAAAAACAATTTATGCTGAAGCCGTGGAGTAACAGCGCTCCCGTTTCATGATTTTTCTTTATATTTAATTAGCCGTATGATAATTATTCCGTCGTAGGCAATAGTAGAATAAATTGTCGTCTTTTATAGGTTGGTTCTCATCGGGATGAATCTGTCAGTCTCCATAACAGCCATTCGATCCTCCCCAGTACAGGCCCCCCAACAAGTACAGAATTAAATCACCATCCACAGGATAACTGCAGAGGTATATCTTCGTAGTAACCTAATTCTAAATGACACAGTTGTGCATTTTATTGAATAATAAAAAGTGAAGCAATCTAAATCTTTTCAAATAAATTATGCCATTTGTGCACAGGAACTGGAGTTAACCTTGGGGTTTTTTTTGCGTGTAGGACCCTCCAGTAGTTTGCAAAGTCAGACTGCTGCCCTGAGTCAAGCTGACGTCAAGAGAGAAGAGAAAGATGAGAATACACGTGACTCCTTCTCCTCCGATGACAAGGGATTAGATGAGGATGGATCAAAAAGTGATAAACTCCAATCGGGAGATAGATCCAGGTAAATGTAGAAGCCATAAAATGTATCATGACCTTCTTATGGCAGCAAGTCACCGATGCAGTTTTCAGTAGAATGTTACACAATTTGCAACAACGACTTGCATTTATAACGCCCCTCACGCAGGGTAACGTCCCAGAGCGCTTGACAGTGGCGGAGCTCGTCTCCGAGCCGGAGGGAGGGGGAGGTGACCATAGACACGGTCGAATAAGAAGGTCTTCGTGCTTGAGGAAGAGTGTTCCAGAGTTTCAGGACATAGTGGTTGAAAGCCCGGTCACCAATGGTGGAACGGAGGACACGGGGGACATGAAGAAGGCCAGAGGCAGCGAGCGGGTTGTGGGATAAGCAGGTCGAAGAAGTAGGGAGGTGCCAGGACATGAAGCGATTTGAAAACGAGTGTGAGGATCTTGAAATCGATCCATTCGGTGATGAGGAGCCAGTGGAGCTTGGCTAAAAACTGGTGTGATTAATATGGTATCTTTATTTCCTAATACAGTAATCACGAAGAAGATGACTTAAACCCCGAGCAAAAAGCAGAACGGGAACGTGAGAGGAGGATGGCGAATAATGCTAGAGAGCGTCTTCGCGTACGAGACATCAATGAGGCATTTAAGGAGCTTGGCCGCATGTGTCAACTTCACATGAAAAGTGAAAAACCCCAAACCAAGCTACTTATTCTGCATCAGGCAGTTGCCGTTATCCTCAGCTTGGAACAACAAGTCCGAGGTCAGCACGCACTTGATAGACCGCTTCTAAATATGATTTTCTTGGTGTATTGGTGTTTGTTATCCGAGTATTATCTGTACGACTGTGTCTATAAGGTTTGTGCTTCTACTCCTGTTGGTTGAATTTAAAAGTTCTCCTACCCCCAACACCCCCCACCCCCCACCCCAACCAAAGTCGTTTCAATCGCAAATTCCTTGACAGTTTTGTCTTGTATTTTTGCACTTGCGGATACGTCTTGCACATGCAACAAGTTTTTGCAGCCCACTGCTAGCCCTCTCCTTTCATACAGCACAAGTTTCTTGGCTTGAGACACAGCAATAGTATCCATTGTTCTTGTCTTGAGATCCTGACACTGAATTTATCAAACCAACCAACTGTTCGAAACTGACGAGCCCAGACCAACCAATTCATTTATTCCTAAATTCACGAAAAATAGGTGTTTTTCGTTGATTTAGGATATCTGAAGCCCCATAATTGTCTTCTTTTAAGAGGTGCGTCTTATCCTGATGTGTAGTACTGTTTAATGGATTACAGTCGCTGATTGTGGCTTTTAAATGTTTTAAGAGAGGAACCTGAACCCGAAAGCAGCCTGCCTTAAAAGAAGGGAAGAAGAGAAAGCTTCTGCCATATCAGCAGAGGGACACTCGGGAGCACATCATGGATCACACTCAGGAGTACACTCTGCAGCTCACTCTGCAGCACACCCTGGTGCACACTCTGGCCTCACTGACACTAACAACCCTATTGGTCATATGTAAATCTGCCAGGTACTCTTCTGAATATATTATTGCAATTTATTTTACGCAAGAGTAAGGCACCTTTAATATTGTTACAATTAAGTGTTTGCTCTCAAATACAAAGTTGCTCAAATTGCATGTGATAGAAGCTTTCTCACGATCGATTCTGGAGCAAAAATGAATCGTTTAAAAACGTCTGTACGGTAGAGCAAATGGCTGCTCTGGTTTCATGCTCTTTACTGTGCAATGAAATCTTTTGCGAAAGTTGCCATCCATCATATTTTGATGTGAAATATGTGTTCACTGTAAACTTACAAGCTGTGAAATAACTAAATGTAGTCGACATAACATTTTTAATTGATATACGTGTATATGGAATGAAAATAATGAATTGTCTTTGAGCAACAGATGGGTCTGTTGTATAGAGTGAATGGAGAATGAGGCATTCTCTACGTGGACTGTATAATTAATCCACTCACCCACCCCCTTAGTTTCTTGTTGTGAAAAATGCCAGTTTCCTGTAGTGAAAAGTGCCTGGTATCATTTTGCCCTATGTTGATTATGGATGTGAAAAAGCAGTGTTAATGATCAGCTTAACATTAAGGATGTGGTTAGGCAAAGAATGTGTGTCAGGGATCCAACATTACTGGAAAATCTGCACTTTGAAATGAGAGGTGTCTGATTATCCTTTTTAGAAAAACTATGCTGAAAATACAAGGAAAAGAAAGATTCATTGTGCATGTTTAAAGTAGACATGTTTAGCAAGTAAATTAGACTCGGGAATTGCAAAGAAATATTTTTTTGAAAAAAAAACAGTTGTGCTATAATTTTCGTCAGGAGAACCAACACAGACACTATGGGCCGAAAAGCTACCTCCTGTAAATAGGAATGAGTCTGAAGAAACTAGCAGCCACGAGTTTGTGTTTGTCCATTAAAGGATATAGTTATACTAAGAATAATGGAAAGTGTAATATTCTTTGCACAATTGTTTTGTGAAAATATTTCCCCTTTGCAAAATTATTGTTTTATCGACATGCTTATGTAACAGTAAATGGCATGTTAAGAGTAAGTCATATCGACCTTCTGTTAAGTTCATTGCAAATTGCAATTTGAATCAGGATGTGCTTTTGGAATTATCCATTAGAAATATCTTAGCAAAAACCTGCAAGGATTGCAAACTTGCTGACTTTTGTTTGTTCTTGCCCCCAGGTCAAAAGTCTGGATAGTTTTTGTAAAATAACAAGTGAATCATCTTTCCACACAAGGACCCTGCCAACTAACTTTCATTAAAGCCACAGTTGGAAAAACATAACATCAGAAACCCAGAAGCAATCTCTTGATCAACATTGTGTCATGTTCATCTCTCTGAATATATTTTCTCCTGAATCTGAATTTTGGCCCATACAAAACCTAGTACATATCAGTCTGTTGAAAGTGGCTCTGCTTCTACACAATCAGAGACTGTTGCAATCGATCCACTGTTTGTGGACATTGCCTTGTGCCTAAACTTGTTGGTTGATGAATGCATTTAAGACAATTTTATTTATTATTATTGAACTATAAGGTCTACTTTGAAAGGGAATTGTTAAAATCGTAGTTTCATTCGCAGCTAGCTGATGTTAGCATCCGTCAAAGCTGTTCGCATGCAGAGAACAAAGCAGTAACAGCCTCTAACACCTAGCATTCCCAGAACCTATTAGTGTCTTAAAAATGGGAGGGAAGAGATTGTACTCTCCATTCCTTTGGCCACACAAATAGCATTTTCCATGAATCAGAAAATTCCTTGTTAGAGTGACTGTTAATTTGTTTGATCTCTGGATGTTTGAACAGTTGTAGTCACAATATACACATTTTCCTATCTTGAGTTAATGCTTGTGTCGTAATCAATTTACTTTATATTAAATGTGCTTTTTATTTGAAAAGGAGCAAGTTCTGTGACCATAGCTTCACTTAGCTTGGATTGAGGGTAGAATTCTTTTGAGCAACTTTCGAGAAAATAAGCATTCTTATTTGTTTTATTTGTAATTATACAAATGTTTTAGGCTTCATACGAATAGCATAACTTGTAATGTGACGTGCAAATTAGAACATTTCTAATTTTAGAATTGCTTTAGTTTTTTTTAAGCAGCTTAATTACTACATTTAGTACACGTGAAAAGTGTTTGCTGTAATTAAGCACAAAAGCAAAACAATGGTTTCAGGCTCTGAAGGTTGTGAGCTCATCTTGTTTGAGCGGGACCTGTAGCGTAAAGACGAACAAGTGAGCTGTGAAGTTGATTAAAATTGTCCAAAGAAGAAAAAGAACTAGGGTCACCAGCTTTTTGAGACCATACTTTGTTTTTGTTATCTCCTTATCTATGTGGCTAGTCAGTGGAGCGGGCTCAGGAGAATGATGGCAGTCCATAACATGAGCTTTGAAGTCAATGTAGCCCTAACTGACATGAGTTTTAAATCGCTTGCATTTCCAAACCACTGTCTCCCCTTTTTTAAAATAAAAAAGATTGCATCTCTTTAGCTTCCATGTAAACTGTCTTCCACTTAAAATGAGCATAAGAGAGAAAATAGCTGACTCGGGTTACTTCATGTTTGAATGTCTAAAATATATTGGCAATTGGCCCGCTACAGGATGAACAAATTATGCATTTCTTTACTTTGAGCACTCGCAAAGACAACTGAAAGAACAAAAATATCAAAACTAGTCGTCTTGCCGGGCTGATGATGAGGAATGTTATAAACACTTGTTTTGGAAGGTTTCTGTAAGAATGAATTATTTTCGACCGTCGTGTAGGATTTCGTCATACTAATTGATTCATTATGACTGTAATTCAAGATAAATTAATACCCAATTTACTGTATCTGTGGCCTTGTTCATCAGTTCAGTGTTCATGAGCTGCCAGTTGCTTAAACGTGCAAAAGTGATCACATGCCACTGCCCGGCCTTTTCTTAAGCCTGGTTCAAAGCTTTCTTTCCCTTTTGGCTACAATAGACTTTGGATTATGCCCAAAAGCTTTCCTTCAACACGAAAAAGAAAACATTTGGCTTATTTTTCGCAGTAGGTAGTCTTTTATACAATAATCTTGTAAAAAAAATAATTAAAAAAATCTTGAATTCTAAATATTACTCTTTCTAGATTTTTGAAATCAAAAGTTTTCAGTAAAAAGTTTCTTACTTTATTTTACTATATTAGGTAGAAAAATTGTAGGGTTATTTACCGTAACCTGTCCATTAATATCAGAAAAATAAAATAGCATTCGAAAACCATTGTAGGTTCTAGCTAAGCCGTGTAGTACCTATAAAGTATTGTACAAGCTAAATGTCTGAGATAAGTTGCTTCACATCTTGTTCTCCAAGTTTCAATTGTTGGTTAATGCAGATTTGTACCCGTGTCAAATTTAAGGTATTGTTGATGAACCTTTCCATCCAACGGCAAGAAGTTCAAATTTTCTGTCAACGATAACAGAAAACACTATGTATATAACATTTATGTAGCAATAAATGTGCCATCTTTTTTAACAAGTCAAATGTGTTTCAAGTTTCTTTGGGAATGTGCTTTGAATGGTGGGAGCTAAATCTGTAAATGTGTTGTAAAAACAAATGATCGGGCAGTATTGGGCACCTCTGCCCCTATTGTATATCACCACAATACAACCAAAATCTTTATTCGTGACTTCGGCATCTTGAGACTTGATTTCTCCAATGCTGTCCCAGGAGCTCCAGCTTTCCCAGAACCTTAGTCCGTATCATTCCTTCACCAGGCTGTGTGACCTAATCGCCCTTAGCCTCGTTGAGTTCCAATGGTTCTCTGTTCCCAAGGGATCAATTTAAAGATTCTTATTTTACTTTCAAATTCAAATACCTCTTCTCCAGTGGCAGCCAATCTGTGGCCCGTGGGCTGGAAATAACGATCCCTCAAACAATTGCACGAGTCAAGGTAAGTCCGCGTTTGATCAGTAATGTGTTTTCAGTTTTTTCTTTTGTTTAAGTATTTCTTGATCTATGGCATAAATCAAGAGATATTCCATCAAGAAAATGTAGTTTGTGGGGCACCACTGCTCTACATCCTCTCGTCTCCTGCAATGCCACTTACAGTTGGTTTAAAGCCTTTCACGTTGGGAGGATGTCTCGAAGCACTTCCCAGGATATGCTATAAAGTGTAGTGACTGTTTTGTGGGAGCTATTATAGTGCAAGTTGTTGATACTACCTTCCGAGGTTTGACTGCCCATTTAATTTGTTGGAAAGTCTACATATTTGGGGGTGCACGCTTTAAGAATTCCTGTTCTTTGTGGAAAAATAGCAGCTGCAAATGTACTTCCAAGAGAATGGGAAACAGCTTTGCCAACTTTGTCTTGCCTCATGAATCATTGCTTGATTTTCCTAATGACCTTCTCTGAACCATAGCATGATTCATTCAATTGTTTGAACAAGGACAGTAATACAGCTTCAAAACAACCACATTTAATAATAACCCACTTATAAGTGACAAATAATTCCACAAAATGAACGACTTAATGCTGAAAAGAAATTTAATTTCTTTATTCATTTTAAAAACAACAGCTTTAATCAGCAGGTAATTTATCTGGTCTTGAAGTCAAAGTCCCCATCAAGGTAAAGTTTGCAACACCTCATTTCAATTAGGACTTGACGTACTTGTTTATTATATTGTTGAATCCTAATTTTTTTTAGAAAAACTTTGTTGTGTGTCCAGTAATAGGAGTAACATCTTATTTATCAGCTATTCAGCAAAGAATAACAATACAGTAAACTGATAACTCATCACTCCAAAGGAAAAAAGCTCAGTGACGAGTTATCTGGAGTGGCAAGTTCAGTATACATACATACATACATACATACGTGCGTGCGTGCGTGCATGCATGCATGCATGCATACATACATACATAAATACGGTCGGGATATTGGCAAGAGGATGACTTAAGCGGTAGTGACAAGTTAAGTCAGAGATGAGTCATCAGGAGTTTACTACACGTGATTTGACTCACCATTTCCACTCCTCCCATTTGGCACTATCAGACAAGATGGGCTAAATTACATACAGGTCATACAGGTGACCCACCACATACTCTGGTCATTGATTCCATCCCACATACTTTTTCTTTTAAGAGAAAGTTATCTGTAACTGTCCCTTGATCTTAAAACGTATTTGGGCAAAAGCCTGCAGAACATTCCCAAATCTCCACTATTCAAGCCTCACCTGCTGGCTTTAAAAGGGCATTTTAATCTCTGCCACTGTCAAATGCCACAAATGGCTTGTCTCACGGATTATTTGTTCATCACGGTCTGTGCTCATTTTCCTAATAACCATCTCCGTAATTACGATAATCATTCCCAACCAGATACTTATTCAGTCTCATGAAGGGGGCAGAGAATGAAATTCTTTCAACTGCAAATTACAATGTTTATTTTCAAAGGGAAACTATATTGAATGACTTTAAAAATTGACGTAATCCATTAAAATATCTTGAGATTGTCCAGATTTGTGCAATCCTGTGTCGTCATTTGCACAATACACGTCCCCTGCTTCATGTTGTTTGCCCACAAAAACAGCCACTCCACTTTACAGTATATCCCGTGAAATGCTTTGGGATACCTTCATGACAGGAAAAGTGTCATACAAGACGTAAGTTATTACAGTAACATTCCAGTTGTTATGAACCAGTGTGCTACAATACAAAATGTGGTTTAAAAACAAGTCAGAGTGTTGTGAGAACCAACCACAAAGTAACTTCCCTAATCTCAAAACATATTTGGCCAAAAACATACCCGCATTTCCACTATTCAAGTTGCACGAGCTAGCTTTGAAAGGCATTTTCATCTCTGCCATTGACAAAAGCTTCAAAAGGTATGTCTCAAGGATTATTTGTTCATCACGGTGTATTGCTCATTCTCCTGTACTATGATTCTGTGTTACTTGTAAGAAGGAATTGCATTCGTCCTACAAAATGTGCTATGGGGAATCAAATTATTTTGAATATGGTTCGAAAAGCATTTAACATTCTTGAACTTTATTCTTAGATTGTAAATATATTTGGTTTTAAGTATATTCAAATTGCATAAGCAACTTTCATAGAACCATATTAAAGCATTAATAACAACAAAAGACAACCTTTCGCCTGCTCTACAGGAATGTAATTTTAAATGTGATTAGAAAAAAAGATTACATGCAGTCTATAGAAACAACAATTGGGAAAAATAATCTGTCTTCTAATTGTGCGCACGTCTGATTCTTCAATATGCATCTTGCACCCTGCTGCATATGCTTTTCACCACGCTGGGGGAAACCATGCAAATAAAGAACTGTCTTTTGTTCATTAATAAGTTAGTTTCCTCCCTGTTTGTGGTCTCTACAGTCGATTTGTTTTAAAGGAAGGAGACTTCAAGGTGATTTTGTTTTTTACATGAAAGTCCTTATGCCTCAAAACTATCATGACCCACATAATTTCTGTAGGAAATCTTTGGCTTTGCAAGATTTGGGTGCAAAGTGACTGAGGCTAAGGGAGCGTGAACACACTAGAAGCAAAAATTCCCAATTGATTTAATTAGATTAACGCAATGTTGCATGCTGCAGTATTCCTACCTGATTCATCATGATGAAATTGTAGCCTCGCCAGAAATGGTTTAAAGTCAACCGATGGATATGACAGCTTGGCTCAGTTGGTTGCTGTCTGGGTCTAAAGTGCTGGACTTGCTATCATTAACTGCAATTACCGTGTGGTATTTTTTGACATTATATAATTAAGATTAGTGGAGCACTGAGGATCATGAAAGAAAAAGAAAAATAAATTGAGCATTTTAAAATAAAATGGTAATCGAAATGGCCCTAATAGTTTTCAGGCACATTAAATCATTCTTCCTCATTTATTTAATCTCCACATAGAATAAGCAATCCAGATGGCCGAGTGCAGTGGTGACCAACCTTTATGGTCGACCAACAAAATAAATGTTCTTGATTGAAATTTCTTGAATTACTCTGTAAATCTAGAAATATTCAATCATGAAACAACTGAAAACACACTACAGATCGAACACTGACTTACCTCGACCCATGTGGGGGCACTGATTGGCCACTGTTGACCTAGTGAATAAATGCCTCTCAATATGTCACTAAATTATACAATACACCTCTACCTATTGAGAGGAAGAAATGAGCCATGGTTTGTTGAAGGCACCAGTCTGTCCAAACAGCTTCCTCCTCAAGTGGTTGAAACATGTTTAGTGTCACTGAGGACCCTGATCTTATGGACCCACAACTAAATCAAAGTTTGTGTATCAATATCAGACCTGCTACCACAACTCAATGTGGTTAGTCAGACACCCAGGTCTAACCACAAACCTTGACAAATCAGTATCCATTACCTTGGCCACTGGCAAATTCTGTTGTAGAATTCTATGTATAACCAAATACTTAAAGAGCAACAGGACCAAACAAATGCTTTAAGGATATTTAACACCAGGAGACTTGGTTTAAGGACAACACTTCGCACAATTTATTCAGTTTCAGCCTGGATTAGGAGCTCAAGTTTTGAACCCACAACTTTTTGACCTTGAAGCGTGAGTCCTTCTAACTAAGCCAAACTGACACTTGGCATAGATTTCACAGCCCAAGGTCAATGCTGTTTTTGCTATTTGTATAAATAGATCAAATAACTTTCACTCCGAGTTTACTTGCCATTCATTGGTGTCATGAAAATTGCACATTTGGTAAATAGGGGAATTAATTTAAGTATTTCAGATGTGGAAATATTAGCAGCGGTATAAAAACAAAATGTTGGAGAAAAGTTTAAAAAAAGTTCTTTTGCTTCTTGGATTGGGCTTCAATCCAATCCTCAGGATTAACATGAAAGGTTGCTTTCTGTCTCTGATGTTCTTTGTAAAGCTCCTAAATTAAATTAAGTGTGACAAGCTTGATCCAGTTCTTCTTGGGTGTGCATCTGTAGCCCAAACTGGCCACAATTCAAGGCTAAATTTTCAACCTATTTTAAAGTGACCATAAGATTAGTTTATGTGACAAATGGAAACGTTACAGCAGAGGTACGCTTACAAGATTGCCCTTAAAATGTAGCATGGCTTCTAAAAACAGGGTTCATTGGGATCAGAACCTAGTACAGCAGTGATTTTTGTGTCTTACTAACTATCATACTACAAGCAAGAATAAGAAGTCATACTGTGCCAAAATAAAACAATTTCCAGAAAGTACTCTCATTTGTTCTCCTCCACATGTCTTGGAATAAGCAATTCTGGCTAATAATTCCCACATCTTGAAGTTTCCAGGATATCTGCCCTTTTAAACAAACAAATGGCATTGTCCTGGAATCCCCTTTGGCTACTTGTGTAATATCCGAGATAGCTTCTGTTGCGTTATCTCGTGTGATTTCTATCCTATTCATTGTGTGGCTACAGAATCACAAGCACAACTTGCACTGATATAAGCGCCCCTAAAGCAGGGTAAGCGCCCCAGAGCCCTTCCACAGAAAGGAGGAAGAACGGAAGGGAGACGGTTTTAGAATTGGTAATTGCTTGATTTCAACCAAACACTAGAGGGTGCTGCAGATTTGCAGATAATGTCACCAACCCTCGTATAACTTCAGACGGATTTTAATATCCGTTTAGGAAACGTTTTTACGAAAGGATATTTTACGTTTGCAGGATGTACTTTACAAAGCCTCTTTGGTTTTATTGTATGCTGACTAACCAGGCTTCTGCTTTAGATTCTAATATTTCGCTGCCGGTGAGCCATTCTCTGAGTAGTTATTTCAGGCTTGAAGGCTTCACTGTCACCGCTAGAGAAAGCTCAATGCTTCGGGCACCATTTCCAATCAAAATTGGATCCGTCAAGGGAAGGGACAACAGGGACAGGAAAAACATAAGTCGACCAGGATGGAGCTTTGATGCCTTGCAGAGCAAAGCTTTGAGGGTATTTTTTTTCTTACAATGTTAATTAACAGTAGATAATTGAAAATACATTTAATTGATTATGCTTGGATTTGTACAAGATATATAAAACTGCTCCCAATTATCTGTGCCAATATAATAAAGGGCTGATTCTTCTCCCTAACACGCTTCCTGACTGGATAACACGTGTGCTGTGACAGCTGGCAACGAGAGCAACATTAGAGGTGGTGGATAGTGAGAGCAATTGCATATCTTCACTCATCAGTGTTATAGCTTCTGCCAATGGTTATCATAAGATTAGATTTACAACAACAACAAATTGCATTGAAACAGTACAGCTCCTTTCACATCAGGAGGGCGTGCCAGGGCGCTGTAGAATGCAGATAAAATGGATCTGGAAATGTAGTTATTATTATCATTATCTACATTCAGTGTGTCAGGTTTACAATATTGCATACCCTAAGATCCAAAGGAAATGAATGTTAAAACAAATGCAAGTGTTGGGTTGAAAGAGATGTTACATATAGCAGGTCAATTAGCATCTGAAAGAGAAATCTAGGTTAATATTTCAGGAGTAAGTACCTGACCCTTCATTGGAGCATTTTGAGATTTTTTAACATTTACATTTTTTCTTTTGAGATTTTTCAACATTTACATTTTTTCTTTTAGTCCCCAAAAGCACTGTGATATTGTGCCGACTTGTGGGTGTCTGATCAACATGGTGAAGGCCCCAACGTTTTTCAAATTAGTTTTTAGTACTGGTTTTGCTTGATTAACTTTCATTCATGTATAAAAGCAATTGGCAGAGCGTGTCGTACAGCGTGACCTTCAAAAAAGTAACATTCTGTGAAGCCTATTGACAGTGTAATGTTTATTAATATAATTATCGCAATAGAAGGTATAGGGCACCCAAAGTTCAAAGGCACAAAACCTTAAAAATAACTTGCAATCCCGTAAGACTTATAATGAACCATGGTTTACATATACTTTAAATATAGATTTACATATAAATAGTTCCCAGCCTACTCATTCAATGCCACAACATTTAAAAAAAAACATTAATCATTTTTAATCAGTTCAACGTTTGCTAACTTTACATCCATCGCATGGAGCAGTGAGATTTGTTCAGATCATCACAAGCATTGAATAAAATTAATGCAACAGTTTGATGGTGGAGCCAACATTTTTTTTTGGTGGGGAATGTGCCAAAAAATGAAATCACTTAGAAAATATAACAGACACACATGCTATTCCTTGCATTCGATACAGAGCCTTGTCACATCGTCAAAATGTCTCAAAGGGCCTCGTGGGTTCACTGTGCAATGTCCCCCAAATGGCTGGGAAGTGAATGACCAATTTTATCTGGGGGGTTTTTGGCCGGGGCCACTATAATAATTAAACAATTCAACGTATATATTTTAGAACAATCCTTGCATTTGGTATAGCGCTTTATCACGGCGTTGAGACGTTTCAAAGCGTTCCACAGGATATCCTGCGAAGTGGATTGATTGTGTATTTTTGCGAGCAAACCCAGGCAGCCAATTGCGCACAGGGGTGTCCCACAAACAGTCGTGGATTTTGTAAAACTATTATGTGTGTGTACGGGAGTTGCTGCTCCCACATTCCTACTTGTCCACTCACTACCTCACCTCCTGGTGACAGAGCTCATCTGTGTAACACTGGTCCTTTAAAAGTAGGTGAACCTTTATTGCTGCGCTGCTGAAAACTGGCTCTACGCTCAGGCGAAATGATAATGAATAAATCTGAAGAGGTTTGATTTTAAGCTGCTTTTGTCTTCTGACTATTAAAAAGTAACAGGCACCTCCAGCTGTGATCTATGCACATAAAGGCTGGCCCTTGTGTTAGTGAAGCTCAGATTTAGGTGACTTTTGGTTCGCCTTTGGCTTTAGAATTGGTTCCAACCCAACTACGGTTGCTGAAATGTCACTTTTTAAAGCCCTGTCGAGAGTGGAGCACATCAAATTATCATGATTTTTTTTGTGAGGGTGGTGGGGGGGGGGGGTTGGGGGAGTGGGAGCTAACAATTCTATCGTTATGAATTTAGGATTTGAGTTCAGGCTTTCCTCTCTATTGCATGCAGCAGACTTTTAATTTATATCGAAATATATTTATACTATGAATTCACAATCTTGTGTGGGTGGGATGTATGGAGATCACAGCTTGGTGTGGATGTTCTTAAGCACGGTGATGGGTTTCTACGTGTGTCAGACACCGGGCCGACCCCAAAATATTCATTCGCTTCGCATAGGAACATAAGAATTTGCTGGACGACAGGAGATCAAAGTCCATCCAGTTCACCTTCCACCATCCTGGCAGTCGCACACACACGTTACAACCCAAAACTTTTTATACTGTATCCCGAGATATTAGCTCTTTCCCTTTCTGTCTCTGTGTGCATGTGTGTGTCGGTGTGTGTTGTAGTGTGTATGTGTTACAGTGTGTGTGTGCGTTACTGCGTGTGTGTTACTGTGTGTGCGTTGGTGTGTGTGTGCGTTACTGTATGTGTTACAGTGTGTGTGTGTGCATTACTGTGTGTGAGTCGCTGTGTGTGTGTGTGTTACTGTGTGTGTGTGTTGGTGTGTGTTACAGTGTGTGTTGGTGTGTGTTACAGTGTGTGTTGTTGTGTGTTACAGTGTGTGTTAGTGTGTGTTGGTGTGCGTTACAGTGTGTGTTGGTGTGTTACAGTGTGTGTTGGTGTGTGTTGGTGTGTGTTACAGTGTGTGTTGGTGTGTTACAGTGTGTGTTGGTGTGTGTTACAGTGTGTGTTGGTGTGTTACAGTGTGTGTTGGTGTGTTACAGTGTGTGTTGGTGTGTGTTACAGTGTGTGTTGGTGTGTGTTGGTGTGTTACAGTGTGTGTTGGTGTGTGTTACAGTGCGTGTTGGTGTGTGTTGGTGTGTTACAGTGTGTGTTGGTGTGTTACAGTGTGTGTTGGTGTGTGTTACAGTGTGTGTTGGTGTGTGTTACACTGTGTGTTGGTGTGTTACAGTGTGTGTTGGTGTGTGTTACAGTGTGTGTTGGTGTGTTACAGTGTGTGTTGGTGTGTGTTACAGTGTGTGTTGGTGTGTGTTGGTGTGTTACAGTGTGTGTTGGTGTGTGTTACAGTGCGTGTTGGTGTGTGTTGGTGTGTTACAGTGTGTGTGTGTGGTAGTGTGTGTTGGTGTGTGTTACAGTGTGTGTTGGTGTGTGTTGGTCCACTCACACTCTCTCTCACTCTGTGTGTGTGTGTGTGTGTGTGTGTGCGCTCCCTGTTGGCCACACAGCCCGTCAGGGGGGGGACGAAAACCCCCACAGCGTATAACTTGCACAACCCCCACACCCCCCCACCCCACACACACACCCCCCCACATATACCCCTCCCCCCACCCCCCCCTACACACACACACACTCACGGAGCGCCTCCGCTCTGCGCGGCTCCGACTCTTCGGCGTCCGGAACAGTATGGAAACAGCCGCAGGACCGTGAGAACGGCCAAGAGCTCAGTAAGTCACCCCCACACCCCCTCCCTCACCCCCTCCCTCACCCTCACCCCCCCCCCCCCCTCCCTCACCCCACCCCCTCCCTCACCCCCACACCCCTCCCCTCCACCCACACCCCCTCCCCTCCACCCCACACCCCCTCCCCTCCACCCCACACCCCTCCCTCCACCTCCACACCCTCACCCCCACCCCCCCACCCTCCCTCCCTCACCCCCCACACCCCCTCCCCTCCACCTCCACACCCCCACATCCCCTCCCCCTCCATCCTCACCCCTCACCCCCTCACCCCCCCACCCCGGACTCTCCGGTGGGCTTCTCAGCGGGTTTTTGGAAGGGTAGATAGGGGGGTGGGGGGGGAGAGAGGGGGGAAAGAGAGAGAGAGAGGGGGGGGGGGGGAAAGGGAGAGGGGGGAAAGAGAGAGAGAGAGAGAGGGGGGAGGGAGAGGGGGGAAAGGGAGAGAGGGGGAAAGAGAGAGAGGGGGGAAAGAGAGAGAGGGGGGGAAAGAGAGAGAGAGAGAGAGGGGGAAAGAGAGAGGGAGAAGAGGGGCAGAGACTGTAACCTACTCCTGTGCTTCCCATTGACCGTAACTTTCCCGACACAATCTGCAATACATTAGAGCGCAAGTCTCCAGCCTTCAGGTTAGGAGCAGCTATGTACCCCCCAACCCCCCTCCCCACTGCCCCCCCTCCCCCCACTGTCCCCCTCCCCACTGCCCCCCCTCCCCCCCCCACTGCCCCCCCCCCCACTGTCCCCCCTCCCCCTCCCCACTGCCCCCCCCACTGTCCCCCTGCCCTCCCCACTGTCCCCCCCTCCCCCCCACTGTCCCCCCTCCCCCCACTGTCCCCTCCCACTGCCCCCCTCCCCACTGTCCCCCCTCCCCCCCCACTGCCCCCCTCCCCACTGCCCCCCCCCACTGCCCCCTCCCCACTGCCCCCCCCCCCCACTGTCCCCCCCCACTGTCCCCCCTCCCCCCCCACTGCCCCCCTCCCCACTGCCCCCCTCCCCCCCACTGTCCCACTCCCCACTGTCCCCCCCGTCCCCCCCCTCCCCCCCCCCACTGTCCCCCTCCCCACTGTCCCCCCTCTCCCCACTGTCACCCCCCCCTCCACTGTCGCTTATTTATCTATTGGTTTTCTCTCCCTTTACCCTATTTTTTTTGGGGGGGGGGTTATAAACAGGGGATAAAATAGCAAAAGAGTTAAGGCGAATTAATTTGTTCTGCTGAGTGGGAGTTGGTCACACATGTACTTTACTTACTTACTGCTTTGCAATGTTTCTCCAGTTTAACGTGCGTTTGGTTCGAAACTTTTTGACTCTTATGTGCCACAAAAAAATCAGGTGATTTTTCTCCTTTTCTTAAGAGGGAGTTGTTAATAATATTCATAATAATAATGATAATAATAGTCCTTGCATTTGCTCGGTCAGCGGATCAATCAAGTTGGTGTAAATCTCGTCCTCTTTTTTTTGGCACCTTCTTCCCCTGCCTTAAATACCGCAGCTCTGAATGGCGGAGACTTGCTTTCGGTTTTTTTCCATTAAAAAAAAAGATAACTGGAAGGAATTCCACCAAGGTCAAGGTTTACCCCGGCATTTGAGATTGTCCAGGGTTTGGCAAACTGTTGATACGTGGCATTAAGTTTTGCGGCTGTGTCCCTCTGCGAGTTCTTTGAAGAAACTTCGGAAAGCCGACTTCAAAGTTGAGACCGGGTTTGCCGATTTGCCAAATTCTGGACGCTCGAACGTTCGGCGTAAATAGAATAAACCTAGATCTGGGTGGAATTTCACCCCCTATGTACTGAACTGAATGCATCTAATAACCGTGGACTGAGAGATTCGACAGTGGTTCATTCCATTTGACAATTCAACAGTTTTGTCTTTTGACTGCATTCACTCACTGTGTAATTCTCCCCAAGAAGGAGAAAATGATTTTAAAAATATTGGCTTCCGCCGTCAAATGTTTTGTTCGGACGTGTTAAACGGTAGGTACGTTTAAAAATAATGCGTTTTGAGGAAGAAAAATAGTGCGCAAGTGGTTTAATTGTAACACAGTCTGGTTGCGAGCACTCCCAACAAGCGGTGCTGATGATCGCGGGCGTGGAATGGGAAGGGGTGGGGGGTTGAACAAAAAAAAAACTTCACATTCTTGACGCTTAGTGTCTCAACAAAAAAAGTTTCTGCAGAGCGCCAAAATAACGAGAGCTGTCAGCTTTAGAGACGAGTTAGTTACTTGTTTAATCCTGGAATTAGGTGAAACAGTAGAGAATTTTGCAAGCTTTGATGTTAAGTGAAATTGGAAGGAGAATTGGTTCTCTTGTTTCAGTGACTAGTGAAGAAACGTCAAACAAAAGCAGTGTCTTACTAACCTGCTACCTTGACCTTGGGATTTAAGCATTTTAATGCTTAGTATTTAAAATAGAGTGTTACAAGGTTGTAACACTATGTGCCACACAGTGTTCCTGTACGCAACAGGGAAGTTTATAAACGTCATCAGAATGTCCCAAGTGTTTTTTTTTATATTCAGTAAAACTCACATAAGTCTTATCTTTATAAATAGTACAAACGCCAAAGCTGTACATGCATCCGAGTCCCATTCAGTTTCCTATCAAAACCACTTAAATTCTTTGAACTAGTAACATTTATCATCTCCTCTAACGCGTTACACCGCACTCCTATCCTCCCCTTACTCCCGCACTTACCAGGTACGTTGAATCGGGGGAAATGACGTCCTGACCCATCGAGACGTGCGCAGAAGAACTTCATTTCACCAATCCAATCGTGGCTGGTAAGTAAGTGCGCGAGTGCGGCGAAGGGTTGAAGATGCATTGAATCGCAAAGAAACGTGGTCTTGACCTGTCCCCGCCTGCACACTTACCTGCTGCGGTGACAAAGTACCTACCGCGTGTGCATATGCCGGCGGCATTGAATTACGCAGGCGAAGCATAGTTTATTGATCGCATCGGATTTTCTATGACTTATACAGGGTTTGCCTTCAACTTATGGTCTTGACTGATATGACTTATGTGGGTCTTACAGTATATCGGGTCCCCTTTCACCCAGGGTCAGACATGCCCTGGGGTTGACCTGTATCCAATCTGGTGCTGGAGTGAGACATTTGATGACCCCCCCCCCCCCCATAGGGCAGGATGGGGCCTGGGGGGGGAAGGGGTGTAACGATTACATCCGATAGAAACATTATACTCCTGTTGCAGTCGGGTGTGCTCCTCCCGGGTTGGGGTTTGAAGAGGTTATCAGGTCAGTGTAAGAAGGAATAAGGAATTTTACCTGGGGCGATACCTGACCCACACCTGACAGGGAATGATTGTGATGCTGAGTGGCTGAAATGGGGAAGTGTTGCATTCCCAAGCACTGACATCAATTTAACACAAAAAAACCCCTATGTGGATAAATCATCTTAAAACATCACCATCCAGCGAAGGTTTGTACGGAAAAAATTACGACAAAAATGACATGCGCCCTCCAGCTACTAGCGAATAATGTGTTGCTTTAGCTGCAACTGAATAAACCTCTTTACACTGTTTGTTTCTTTTAAGAATTTTGTTTTAGAAATCTAGCAAGGAATCAGCAGCAACATTGCCCAAAGGGTTGTACCTCCTTCGGGTGGTCTCGACTCATTCCCCTGCTGAAATTTGAATCAGCTTCGGATCAGCTATGTCAAAGCCAGAGTTGTAAAGCAGTTTCTGCGTTGCTGTGATCCGGAAACCACAGTACAACGCAGCACTATTAGTCTATTCAGAGTTTTGAGCTGTTTTGTGCCAGCCACTTGCACTGGAAGAGCAGACATTGTGATGTGGAATTGTGCCCAACAGAAATTGGTTTGAGGTTACCCAAGTTCATTGGATTTTTGAGCCACTTTCAAAGAATATTTTATGAAACACTTTTTGAGTGTTACGAAACATTTTCTTTGATTATTATGTTAAACATGTTGGTTTTGGTGCAGCTATTTCTATTTTGTTTTCAATTGCATATATTAAACCTAATTATGTTTTCATAAACGTATTCTAGTTGCAATTTATTAAATGCATGCTTTTACACATTTATATCTAATAAACCCTGATAGACCATTCATTCAGCTCATTTATCTCATCAATCACTGGGTCCTGGTTATAGCAGATTGACTTTAGGAGTTGGAACCACTGTTTAGTAACTATGATGAAAGACTGTAATTTCAGAAAAGATATATATATTTTAAAAATCAAACAAATCTGAGAATAAACATTTTTACATTACAATCTGTTTAATTTAAAATGAAAATGATTAAATAGATTGGATATAGAAGACCTTATCACCAAATATCAAATGCAAATGTCAAGGCAAGAGGGAGTCTGCATGGGTTAGAGGACATTAAAGGGCATTAGTCCAGTTAAGTGATTGATTTGATGTGATAAATCCAAATCACAAAGGTGTAGCTTGAGCAGTTTTTCAATTGAAACCTCAGGACCAAATTGCTGGCTGCAATCCCCTGTGACACTCGCCTATTTATAGAGGATTGTAAGCTTGGCTGTTGCTTTGACCCAGCACTCGTTGGGTAATGAGGCAGAACAGTGTAGAATTTTGAGTTTGTGATAAAAATGTCCACAGATGTCAGACCGTCCAGTGGCTTTCAGACAGGGACTTGCAAAGAAATTGACTGTCCACTGCAGTAGGTGAAAGCAAAATGTATTTTTCCAATTAATATATATATATCAATTACTTAACTTGTGTGATTATATAAAAATATATATAAGGAAATTGTAAACTAACAACTAGTACATTGCACCCAACATGATAACGCCTACGAGTGTTAATTTCCTCAGATAGTCTTGAAACAGACTTTTCTTCATCTTTGTTAAGATACCCCTGTAACATGAAATTTGTTTTCTGGGAGATGGTGGTAAAAATTGTACATTATTTGGGTTAAAATAGATAAAAGCATTCAATAAAAGAAAATGAAGTGTAATTGTAACCCCTAAATTTTACAGGGGCTCAAAGCCAAACACATTTGGATTGAAAATGGCTATTGTATCTCAGTGAGCATTGTTTTTGCGAAAGATTGTTCATTACTCATTTATATTGTTCAAGTTTCCCTTTACAAGCCTAAGGAAATGACTTGCCTTTTTCAAGCATTTGGCAGGAAACCTTATTTTAGCTACCATTTCTCTTCAACCTTGTTTGAACGCACTAATTAGCTGAGACAAAATCACCTTATTGCATCTTTGGTAAATTATCTGTATTGCTTGATAATTAATTGTTGGGTAGGGAGCAAATTCGCTCAATGTGATCATCAACTGAGGAAGAAATTGGGCTTTACATTGATGGAATTTTTCTTGAGAGCGATGTGAATGGTTAACCCAATTACCACGTCTGGGTATCAGCTTTAGCATTTGTCTAGGCTGGCACTCCAGTACACTATAGACTAAAGTGCTGCTTTGTCAGGGATACTGTCCTTCGAATAAGATGTTAAAACTAAAGTCCTGTTTGCCTGTTCAGACAGACGTTAAAGACGTTAAGGATCCCAAGGCACTTTATGAAAAGAAGAGGGAGTTTCTATTAGTGTCCTGGCCAAAAATCCTCCAGCTAAATCCAGTCTGTTTGTGGGACCTTGCTATGTGCAAATTGGTTGCTGTGTTTGCCTACAAATACATAGATACTACAGCCGAAAGTAATTCCGTCAAGTGCATTGTGACATTCCGACATTATAATCTTTGCTTTTCATATACCGTTGTCAAGATAGCTCAAAGCACTTCACAGGAAAGACTGTTTTGTGGTGTGACTGTGTGCATGTGTGGGCAAACATATTATACCAAAAGAATGTATTATTATACTGAAATAACTATCCTAGTTTATACAGGCATCCAGAATCCCCAAACTATGGTATTTTTGCAAGATTTAGCCGATCACAAGATTCACTTACCTTTAACTCATCTGCCATAACTCTATGTGTTATTCGATTTTAGATTCTTTGCCTAACCTCTCAGGATTTATTTTATTTGTAGCACGAGAGAGAATGTTGAAGTTGTTGGCAATTGTTGGCCACCGCGCTGAGCGGATGAACGGAGTAGATTTGGCAAACAGTATGTGAGGAATGGCGACCTGAATAATGAGGTGCAATGCGGTTTGAGGAAATAAAAAGATTTACGAATGGTTCATTTCAACAATAACCAATAAGTTTCTCCTTCCGATGTACGTGACTGTTTAGGAGGCTCACTTTTTAAGGTGATTTTGGAGGCTAATTGGTTTGGGAATGAATTGAACGGATTAGACCAGTTTCCTTTCAGCAACCTAGCTGTTGAGGGCAGTGTTCATGGTGGTAGATGTGGGGCAACTCAATTATAACGTAATGTGTCGCTTACAAACCAATCTGACGCTGCGTTATAATGGATCTGCGGGAAAAAAAGTACTGTCAGAGCCATAGGGTCAGAATATCTCTGATGGCACTTTTTGCATGCTGTCCCCTGACTTTACTTGCTTTGTCAAGTGACAGCAGCAAGACTTTCTGTGCACAGTGTAACATAGCAATCCCTCACGATTGTAACGGAGTCACGTCAGCCAAGTTGTGAACTCAAATGTACAGTACTTTGATATAGCTTATGCTGCACCTGCCTTGGGAATTAAAAAACTCATAGGCATCTTTTGAAAAGTATTTTATGGCATGTTCCTTTTTGGGTTTTTTTGTGTAGGGTATTATTCCGTCCAAATAAATATCAGCTGTCGTATTTTTGATGTATTGATTAAGTGTGCTCCTAATGTTTGGGTATGATTAGACCTGTAAATATTACGCAGTGTTTCTCAACCGCAAGCAGTGTTTGACGGGGACCTAAGTAAACTAACAAGGCAGAGTTTACAGTTTAGTGCATGCAAATTATGAACTATAGCTTGTTCCCCATTTGGAAACAAAATCAACATGAGGAACATTGAATTGAGGGTTGAATTTCTTTCGCGATCGTTGCGCATATTGGCTGCTGCATTTCTCCTACAAAATAAACAGTCAATTCGCTTTACAGTATAATCTGCAAAACGCTTTGAATACGTCTCAACGATATGATAAGAAGCTATATCAAATGCAAGGATTATTATTATATTTCCCTTTACATGACAGCCTTGAGTTAGTTCATGGCTAGATGTTACTGTTGTGAAAATTGAAACTGAAGAGCAGTGTACAGTTTTTAAGAGGCAAGGCATGGAATATTTTTTAATTTACACACCCGAGTGTCAGATATGCCAAAGAAACCAGCTTTGGTCTCTGGAACATGATCTAACATCAGTCAGAAAATGGCTATCCTGGGATTGCTCAATTCTCATTTTCCCTGCAGTGGTGCACCACAAGACAAACTAACTCTTCAAGCCAAGACGTACATACATCTGTCCCCAGCATGATAGATATCCCTCCCTTTCTCTCACAGCAAGTCCCTCGTGCCCGGCTTGCCAATACAGCTCTAACGTTTTCATTAAACTCTAAACTGACAATACTGGCGCGTAAGACTGTGTTCAAAATTTGCAATTCAGAAAGTCTAATTTAAACGTCACTGCTTAATATTCCAAGAAGATGTTAATCGTCAACAATGTCTGGTGTTTCATAAGCAATTGGACAACAGGAAAATGGGACCCAGCCTGGGGTAGGCTTTCATTCCATTGCACGTATGTCTGTGGCCGTCCCAAATATTAGGAAGCAAATTCTGATCGCTGTGGTTTATGTTCATAGAGGTAGTTTGTAACCCCTTAGTTTGAAATGGTTTCAGCTGATCGAAAACAAACATCTTTCTCCTCCCTTCTCAGACTCTATGTGCTTTTGTGACACCCGCGAACCATGAGCAATGTGTTTGTAAACATTCAGTACCATGTTTGTCATTTCAACAACTTAACTAGTCTTGACAGGTTGTTATTAACCTTGGTAAAGGATTTTCTAAAGAAAACCTGTTGATCATCAGTGATTGTTTCCGCCTGTATACGCAAGCCAACCTTCACGTTGATTTTCTCAGCTACCTCAGGTAAATTCCTAACATTTAATGAGGAAGGTGTTTTTGCAAGTGTGCTGGTTTTACCTCAGTTCCTATCACCTCTAGGAGCTAGGTTTTAATGTGACGTAGACTGTCTTTCCACTCCTTACCAATTGTAATAACAATAATCTAGTTATCCTTCGGTGGGGATGGGGGCTTGGGGAGGAGGTAAAATGTGTCTCCTTGGAGCTGACGTGACCCCAAGGTGGCATGCTTGGCAGTGGAATGTCAGAATTAAATGAACCCTTTGTGGTCGTCTCTGTAATTTGCTTGAGGAGTCGGGCTTTTTACAAAAAGTACTCCCCTCATTGTTTTTCTCCTATTAAGGGTTGAATGTGCAAATGTTAGCTTTTGAGAGGTGGGTGGGATCAATCTGTGAATACTTTGGGATAAACAGCTTTACCAAAGTCGGAACAATTACCCCATATCTAAAGCGTTTGAACCCTCTCAATAAAGGCACTAAAAAAGACGTTAATTGCATCTTTTTTGCCGCCCCCCCCCCACCACCACCCATTCCTATAGGATCACAGTTAGTTTGGTTCAGAATAATTCTTAAATGTGATTCCTTCGGGATTTATAGAGAGCTGAGCAAGTGCAGAACTCACCACATTTAGGTCTGTCAGTGGTCTGCAGTGAGGTGTGTGTCCCTGTCCTGCCCCACACTGACCTCAGGTCTCTCTCTGACCTTCTCAACCTCATAACAGGTTGGGTCATCATCCCCTAAAGGAGCAAGGAAATATAATAATGATGTGCAATGGGTTAGAAGCCCTGAGCCATCCTCAGCAGGTTCCCAATGATAGTACAAGTTTGTCTGAGAGATGTGCTTTGCTTGTTTGATCTGATGATAGTTTTAACTCGTCGGAGATTTGCATTGTATAGTATATTTTATTTAGTTCTGAATTGAGGGCGGTTGTTGTGTGATTGAAACAAATCGCATTAGCTGTACATTCGCAACCAATAAAGTTTATAGTGCTGAAGTGGTCTTCATTGTGAGTGTTGATGGCTTAACAATGTCTCTCTGGGTTGGAATTTAAATCGTTACATCTGCACGTCACCTTCAAAAGGTTCGCCTGCAAAATATGGCCCCTGTTCTTTACGGATCCTGTGAAGCACTTTGAAAGCGCTCAGGGTCAGACTCCGCCACTGATAAGCGCTCCAGGACGCTACCCGTTGTGAAGGGAGCTATATAAATGCGAGTTGGTGTTGTTATTATTTGAGATGTCCTCCTCACATTCAAGGTGCTATATCAAATGCAAGGATTATTGTTATTAGACGCAAAGAAGCATTGTTCTGCCTTCCACAACATGGCATGTAGACCTGAAAAAGCAACCTATTTTCATTATTGAATGGTAGAACTTGCTAACTTGCAGATATTGAGTTATAAAAAATATTTTGACACAAAGAGGCTCTTCAGCTTTTGGATTAGGAATCTGGATGCTAGTACCCTTCCTCCACTCCCTCAACTCCAGTTATTTTGATTTCAGGGTCAAGAAACATCAGAGCTCATCTCTGTTCTCTCTTCACCCAAATAAAATGCCTCAGTGGCCAAGAATAATTATAATGTGGAGTATCTGTTTTGCGGCATGAGCCACCGTATTGTTTCTTTGAAAGAAATACTCTGCAATGATCCATTGGTTCCATTGAAAACACTGTCAATGTGAATTGTGCAATACAATAACAGGCGACTTGAATTATTTTGGTAACCACTTGGTTTGAGACCCACAAAACTACCCGAGTGATCCAATAATTTCTCTAACTGCTAATGACATTGTACTCTTCATTGCAGGTCAGGCGTGGATACAGAGTGACTGATTTTTTCCTTGGAGACTAATGTTGAAGCTCTCCAAGACAGGAAAATGCAGCAAAATTACGGAATTCAGATCAGGTTCATTCAAGATGCACAAGAAGAAGACACACCTAAGCCACGGAAATCTCTCTCTGCCAGCAAATCGGGGTCTTACGGGGTTAGTATTAGGGTCCAGGGAATCGATGGGCAGCCTTACGTAGTGCTGAACAGCAACAAGGAGGGGCAACTGCAGGTGTATGAGCCCCCAACTGGAAACGGCAGCGTTGATCGAACTTTAGTTCAAGATAGTTTCAAGGCGTATCCTGGTCCCTTCGGCGACTATGCAAGAGAACTGAGAACCGAGAAACTGTCTAAGGGTGGTGATTTTCCCGCTCACGAAATTCAGTGCCCCAGTCGTCATCGACCGTCTCTTCCGCCAAAGCTGCCTGCGCCACCTCCAGAGGACCCCAGAGAGGAGATCAACAAGGAGCGGATAAGAACCTCTAACTTACTGAATTTTCAGAAGCATCCTGAAATTCTAAAGCCTTATGACCCAGAGAAGAGCCTGTTTAAGCCCAATGGTCAGCCAAGTGGGACTGGTATTGGTAGCAAGATAGCGACTTCTATCCCTCCTTTTGCACAGAGGAAAGAAAGCAAGCCTTTTCACTCTTTAGCCAGGTCTGAATCCTCAACCAGGTCAGATATCGATGCAGCCAGCTCAGCAAGACCCAGTGACGATAAGAGCAATGTTGGTAAGTTTGCAATGCTCGGCAATCTCGCCAAGAAAGTTCCCGCTCCTCCCGGCAGCAAAGCCGACGTGTTCGATCCCAGTAGAAGATGCCAAAGCAACACCGGTACAGACACGGAAGACTCCAGGAGAACACGACCAGATTTGCTCCCGTTACGCCGGCAAGACTCGGCAGGAAGAGCTCTCGAGATCTCCCGGTCACGCCGATCGTCATCCTCCACCCCGACGTCTGTCTGCTCGGAGAAGCTCCTGTACAAACAGCGATCGGAGGATGCCGACGAGGAGCTCTACGCCGAGAACGTAAACCGTCACGAAAACCGAAGGTACATCCCGTTCAAAGCGGGCACCGGCCGCGATATTGACACGGGCTCCATTCCCGCGGTGGACGAGTTGATCGGGAAATTCGATGAAAAAGACGGGCAGCAGCAGCGGCGAGGGCGGTCGGTGGGCAGGAGGAACCGCATCAAACCGGAAGATCGGAAGCGTTCCCGCAGCGTAGACAGCGCTCTTCCCTTCCCGCTGCGGTGCAATTCAGCTTACCTGGACGAGCACAGCAAAAGTCGCGGGAAGTCAACCGAGCGCTTGCTCAGACCATCCCAGTTACTCCGTCAAAATGCAACATCTCAAGATCCCTCGTCACCTTCTCCTAGTGAGGAGCAGCCTGTAAGTTCTATCGGTGGTAGCCTTGATTGGCCTGATACAGGCCCTGGAGAAAAACAGTCCAACCACAGTTACGGTTGTATGAAGAATCTATCTCAGGCTGAAATGACTGGAGCAGCTAACGTGCAAAACACTGTGAAATCATCGACCCTGCCTGTGGGCACCATCAGCAAGCCTGATCCTGAAAAGAAGGAAGTGGCTTCTATCACACAGATAAAGACCAGTACAGCGACACTCTCCTTCTCTGGGAGCAGTCGGAATTCTGGTACTCACCAAAGTCCAGCAAGTACAAACCAAACCGCCTGTGATCGTGACGTGCAGGTAAGCTTCCAAGCTGTGAGTGTTGAACGTTAATTTGTCACTTCAGTAACTTTTTAATTTCTTTCCAAACGTTGAACCGGTTATTATCGCAGGAATGGTTTTGTGGCACCAGGATCCCTTCAAATGCGGAACTGATGGAGACGGCCCATTCGTTTCTCTGATGCAGGGACTGCAAATCGCATTGTTAACTCATTGCTATTCTGCACGGTCCAGAGGGGATTGAGGCAAGGCAGTGGGACCTATTTGGGGGATAATCAATACTAATATCTTAAGAGTTTAAGCAAGCTTCACCTACTGATTGGAGTGTCAGAATAGTTAACCTCTTGTTTCGCCTACAAAATACATGATACCGACACTTTACAGTATATCCTGTGAAGCGCTTTAAAATGTCCTCCAGATGTGAGATTCTTTGATTGTCAGTGAGAGTACAGGCCTTGGCACTGGTATGTTTATGATGGGGATAAACCCACAAAACCAAGTCCTGTTCACGTAGAAAACAGCAGGCAGGAACCTGATCTCGCCACAGAGATCTAAATTTATGACCCATCCCCACCTCCTAAAACAGAACAGAAAGGTTTTCAGGTTCTGTCTGGCTTCTTTCTATCGGTTAGTTGAGCTTATCCAAGGAAATGACAGAAAATCTTTGCACAGTAAATATCTTTTCATTGATTTATTATTCAGGCAGATGATGTTCATCTTAAGCTTTTCCTTCAACTTTGTAAGGATGTTTAAACTGCATGCTTGCTTATCTAATTTCTTTTATTCAATGGTTTTCTAGGTAACTCCCGACCTTTTGAAAGACCAGCAAACAAATGAAGAGACCGCAAAGCAAATCCTTTACAACTATCTTAAAGAAGGGTTGGTATCTGAAACAAAGTTATGAAAGTTGAGCGTGTTATCTCGGCAGTGATGTTGAAAAAGATTTTTGAAAAAAAATCTTAATTTGGTCACTCAATTCGCGACTGTTTGTGGGACATGGCTGTGCGCAACTGGCTGCTGCGTTTCACCCACAAGATACACAGACAATCCACTTCACAATATAGTTTATGAAGCGCTTTGAGACGTCTTAATGATGTGATAAGGCGCTCTATCAAATGCAAGGATTATTATTAATAAAATGTTACTTCACTTGTTTCTTGCAATAATTAAAATTGAGATTAAATTGCATTTAGTCATGTCAATGTAAAAGCACTTCAATTGTCTTTTCACTAAACTTAAAAGAGATATTATCAATTGTTTAAATTCCTTTTAGTATTTAGTAATCTGAAAATCATACTTGTTTATAGATTATATATCAGTAAATACAAATTTATATCAAGTCGATAACAAGCAGATTCAATACACAGGACATTTTACCTCTGTCTAGTTCCCATTATAGGTTTGCTTTGTTTATTTTTTCACTTGGGTAATATTAATGAGTTTTAAGGCAAATATTTGCACATAGCTGGCAAGTAAATGGTTTGAAGAAATCATTTGCAGGATATGGGCTACAGAAAAATGTCATTATTTTCTGTTTCTAGTTGTAATTTCTTTGACATCCAAAAGTTCTGTTCATTTCCTTTTGTCTCCCGTCAGCACCGCGCACAAAGACAGCTAACAAACGGAAGTCTCTTCTATTTAGTCGCTCACAACAAATCTTTTAATGAGATTTTTTAATAAAAAAAATGAATACTGCTTGTCTGAGACTAAAGGCCACGGTACATTCCTAATTCATGGACTGGGGTTATGATACTGCTCCACACATTCCCTTTCCCTTGAATAAGCACAGTCGAGGGTTTGAAAACAATATATTTTAATTATTTGCCCAGTTGACTTCCATTTCTAGCTCCATGACACATTGCTGCTGCAAAATGTTAAAACCAGCAACTCACGCATGATGTGTCCAGGTTATAGGCACTCAGTAGTAACATTGCATACCTTAAAGCTCATGTGCAATCGACTTAATTTTACAGTGCCAGTGAAGTGTGAGGTAAAATTTTAACATGACAAGTATTAAACTTTATGGCAGTTGGACTTCGGTCTTTGCTAACAGAACTTTCAAGGCGGCAGACTGAATAGGAGGAGAGCTTGAAACGACTTCAATTTGCATATGCTTTTTTTAAAAAAAACAGGAAGCATTGGAGTTCTTTCTCAATTACAGTCCCAATTAAGATATATAATTGATATCTTTAATCAGAGCCTCTTTATTTACCATAGCACGTGTTTCATCACCACTGTAGTGTAATTTTCCTCCTTCCACTTTTTCTGATTTTTCTTTCTCTACTTGCCTCCGTACCTAAAAAGTGCCACGAGTCGAGTTTTAATGGTTTTATTGACCTGGACCGTCACCAATGTCTGGCTATACAGTTGTAATCCTGGACAGAACATCGGTAGGTTATTTGACCTGTTGACGTGTCCTCACAGCTGAGCTGATGAAATCCTTGCACAATAACTAAATTGAGGCTTTTTTTAAAAAAAACTCAAGGGCATAGAGTGTCAGTGTTAATAAAACCATAGAAATTGATCCCACAGAAGGCAATTTTGACCCATCGGAGCAGTGCTGGCTCTTTTAGGACTTTCTCCCTCCTTCCTCCTGGTTTACTTCATGGCACAGGATATCACCAACAGAAAGTGAATAAGCATTAACATGACACGCATTGATATCTGAAATCTTGCGATGTAGTTTAAAAAGAAATCCAGGGCATTCTAGTTGGTATTGCGATTTAATTGGCTTTGTTGTTTATGTACACGAGTAGCAATTTGAAGATAAATCATCCAGACGATTTATTCGTTTCAGCCCCTTTTGTTACCACCCACCGATGGTAGGGCGGGTCGGGCGGGAAACATGGAGCAGGCCAGAGCCCGCTGAACGGAGGGAGCGGGCAGGCTGGTAGGGAGTCAGCAGGTCAGAGAGGTAGGAGGGGGCAAGGCCATGGAAGATCTTGAAAATGAGGACGAGGATCTTGAATTCGATCCTCTGAGGGATGGGGAGCCAGTGGAGTCGGGCGAAGGTGGGAGTGATGGGGTCACGGAGCCTGGTGTTTTGGATGATCTGCAGCTTGTGAAGGGAAGAGTTGGGAAAGCCAATGAGGGGGGGAGTTTCCATAATCGAGCCTTGATGTGACGAATGCGTGGGTGAGTGTGAAGATTAGGTTAAGGTATTAATTTAATAAACATCGTAAACTGCCTAAAGCTTTCGAGGATTGTAAGATAGTGTTGCCTTAAATACAGATTAGAAAACAAAGACCATTTGAAAATACTGGAGTTTTCTTTAAATGCAAATTTTTAATATCTTGACTCTACGGGGAAAGCTGTGCACAGTAGATAAGAGCATATTTACACTGTTCACAGTGTTAATCCTTCATTGTTCAGGATATGAATCATTTTATGATTCTTTGCTTTGATCAGTGTTAAAAATAACACACAATGCAGTGGGATTCCGCAGTTGGTTTGCAACAATAACATAACTGATATTTTGCTGAAGATGGTAATTTTTATGACTTGATTTTGACTGTAAGCTCTCATGGGCCAGATGTTCACAACAATGTTAAAATAAAAAATGCCACAGTCTTTTTAATATCTTTAATGGGATTGTATTGTTCTGCTGAGTGAATTTCAAGTCATGCAAAGCAATTATTTTCATCTCCATTCTATGTCACTGGAGGCAAATTTAGCTCCAACTATTTGAGTGCACCAAATGGAGCTTTCTAGATCTATTCTTACTTTATTGATGTGCGGAACTAGTACAAGAAACTTAAAGTTATTTCAAACCAAGACCGATAGAGGCACATAATCTTTCACTAGATTAGATGTCGTTGGTGTTAAAAACGACTCTGACACTGGGATGGGATTGGATTGTTAAATGTCCTTTTTTTGTGTTCTTTCCAGGAGCAATGATGATGATGCCACAAAGAAGAAAGTCAATCTGGTGTTTGAAAAAATCCAGACATTAAAATCACGGAGTGCAGTTGCTGGTGGAGAGCCAAAGGACAAAAAAGTGAGTTACTGTGATTGATGAAGTGATTTAATTTGTCGAGGTTGATTTAACAACAATTTACATTTACACAGTACCTTTCACATTGGGAGGGTGTCTCAAAATGATTCACGCAACTGACTGGAAGCCTGAGGTTTTTTTTGGCTGGGGCTGCGGGGGGGGAGAAAACAGGTGACTTTTGGGGGAAAGGAACGATAATAACAAAAATAATTTGCATTTATTTAAGCCCCTCATGCAGGGTAGCGTCCCAAAGCGCTTGACAGTGGCGGAGCACAATGACGAGCCGGGGGGGGGGGGAGGGGGAGGGGGCGGTGGCTGTAAGCATGGTCAAAGAGGAAAACGGTCAACATTGCCGAAAGCATGGTTGGAGAGACAGATCATAAAGTAAGAGAGCGAGCTGGCAAGGTAGAGCATCTCTAGGATGGAGTTCCATTCCAGAATGGCTGAAAGCTCACCCATTGATAGAAACATAGGAATCGGAGTAGGCCTTTCAGCCTCTCAAGCCTGTTCCACCATTATATTAGATCATGGCTGATCTGTACCTCAACTCCAATTATGATGGTGGAGTAAATTGGCAGGGGAGAGCAGTAAGACTGTTTTCTTGCAAAAAGCATGTATTCCTTTGCTGTCCTTTAAGCTTCTGCGTGAGGAAAGGCTAATTGGCCGAGGGACTGGGTGGTTACTGGCAACCATGCCTGAGTTTGAATCAAAGCCTTCGGGAGAAGGTGAGGAAATTGGCAATTCTCCAAAAACATTCTTGGCTATTGTTTTTAAGGACACAGAAAGAAAGTTCTGCCTGTCATCAGTGCCTTGGGATGTCTTCCCGACCTGAAAGGAGCTACACAAATGTGATTTGTTGTTGTTGCTGTTGTTGTTGTTGTCAACTCAACAACCTAAGCTGTGAATGTTAGCAGACATAAAGATAGACATGCAGCTTTCTCGTGGCCTTATATAACACTGATACTTTGCAGGAGTCATTTGAATTCTGTAGATTTGAATAGATTTCTGATGGAGTGATTGGACAACACTGTATTGTTTTGTTGCAGTTGTTTCTATGTCATGCCATAGTGTGCTTAGTAAACATTTAGTACAGTGGTTTAAAAAGATCCCATGTGTTTTGGATTGTATATTAATTATTTTGTCAGCTTTTCCCAGTTATGTACTGACTGGTCGATTCAGGTGAAATCTGGTTTTATTCCGGAGGAAGCAAGGTGGAGGAAAGACTTTGAATTCTGATTTCCCATGAGGTTACTATTCCAGTTGGCAAATCTTAATTTATTTACCTTTCTTCTGCTACTGCTCCTGTTCTGTGGAGCCAAGACAACTGATGCAGTTACCGCACTAAATTGAGACCGCTGAAATCGTGTATGGAGTCCAACAGATGTTACCGGAATAATGGACTTGAGCGCGGAGGCTCATTCGCTTCCTCTTAACTCTTGTGGTTGTTTATGTGTGTGACAGCCTGGCTAATTTGGTAGCACTCTCACCTCTGAATTCAATGGTTGTGGGTTCAAGCCTCACTGCGGAACTTGGAACTCACAAAGTCTATGCTGACACTCCGGTGCAGTATTGGGTGCACTTCATTATCATATAAGACGTTAAGCCAGGTGGTAGCCCTTCTAGTGGAATTTATTACTCATATCCCAGTTCCCTTTTCCCTTCCGTCATTCCCTTTTATACCCTTCAAATATTTGTCAAATTCCCTTTTAAATATGGTGATTGTCACCAGCACAAAAGGCACTATGGAAAAGCATTGCATATTCTGATAGCCCTGTGTGTGAAAGATTCTTCTTAGCTCCCCCTTAACCCTTCCAGTAATAATCCTCACCTTAGGCCCCTTGTTACCACGGTTTCTGAGCAGCAGGATCATCCAATGGTATTCTCAAGCATGCATTTGATTGCGTGCTTTTTGAAGGAATTGATCAATGGAGCATCACCTTGTTTATCAGTTTCACATGTATAGTATTTGTGTGTGTGTGTGTGTGTGCGTAGAGGGAAGGGGGTCTTATCTCCAGTTTTGCTTGAACTTACTCCCACGTCGAACCACACTGTTTTGCCTACAGGAAAATATTTCCACTTTGGGGAAATGTTTTCATTTGTGGAAACTATTAGACTTATCTGTTACATAACGATGATTTTACACCAACTTTACTCTGTTAGGGTTTACAGTATCCCTGCGAAAATATTCTTGGAGCTGCTTATCTGAGACCAGCAGACATATGTTACTCATTGTGTTCATTCAGTTGAGTTTGGATGCACTCATCTATAGCAGCAAATCTGTTAGCTGTGAAATGTGCCGAAAGGGTACATTAAGTTCTATTATCATATGAATACGCATGAGTGTTCATTATGTAATTATGTCTTGAGTCGTAAAGCCCAGTAGTACAGTTTTAATAATTCTATAGGACAATAATTTAGGTTTGCAATGTGAAGACCTAACCAAATGCTCTTGATATAACAAAGATATTGGTAGGATAGCATTCTCTTTCTTCCCCTCAAATGTACCTTATGTGAACAGATCCTTATGAGTGAAGAATGTCAAATTCATGCTAATTTTTCTAATAATAATAATCCTTGCATTTACCTTATCACGTTGTTGAGACATCTCAAAATGTTTCACAGAATATATTGTACAATGGATTGACTGTGTATTTTGTGGGCAAACATTATCTGTTGGTCAATAGTGAAAACCAAAAGAGTATCATATAGCAAAGTAAATTTATTGGGAGAAAAATATTTCTACAGTTGCAGATTATAATGAGACTGCTTATTGCCTCATCTGCAGTTTCTTTTCAATGTGTTTCATTAAGGAAAATCAATGATGTGCATTTAAATTACTGCTTACTGTGAAGCGAAGAGACCACATCAAAGTAACGAGGAAGTGGGAATATGAGCCTTGAGGAAGGAAAAACGAACAGAAACACTAATAAGGAGCAATTCATCCTTTAAATTGGCTGAGATGAGTTTGTTATGGTATACATAAATTTGGCTTGTGATCAAATCTTTTTGAAATATACTCAGCTTATTAGCAATGCCATATATTTGTTGACTTTATTGTTATATTGTACAAAGTATTCTCAAAAGTGATTAAATCCATTGGAATATTTGATATTCTCAGTAATACTGGTTTGCTGCACATCGTCTGCCTGAACATCAGTGGGGGATGCTTTCAGCTATTCTGCCCTCACTCTCCAGAACTCCATCCCTATACCTTGTTCTCTTCCTCTCTGCCATCAAAGCCTCATTAAGACATAGCTCTTCAATACTTCTTCCCCCCCCAACCAAGCTTGGGCTTCCAGTCAGTTTGTGAAGTTTTGTAAGATGTCCTTCCTTCGTGAAAGATATTATATAAATTGTTGTTGTTAAGGTGGGTTCATGATATCCAGTTGGTATATCTTAATCTGGGTGGATAAGTGATGTAAATGCATTGACGTACAAATTTGTGCGCTAGTTTGATTTCTATTGATAAATAAGATCTAGTTAGGGGCTGACTTGTGGGTGTCCTCAACCATTTATTATCATGGACTTTCCCCGATCTTTCAGTCAGTTCATCCTTGAATAACTAAATCGGAAAGGCTTGTCTGTGCTGAGTTATCTTGTCTAGAAGTACGGGGGCAATTAAATTTGGTGTTCCTCTTGGTTAAACAAGGGAATTCCACCCAGGGTTCCCTTACCTGATTGCTATCAACCTAGAATGAGGCCACGATTGGGGCATTTGTCAGAGATTTGTTTTGTGAAATGTACCTCATTTTAATTGTTGTGCTTTGCCTTCTAGGTTGACGAGTCTTCTACTGAATTCAAAGCGCTGCTAGAGCAGAAGAATGAGCTTGAAAAGAAAGTAGTTGAAGTGGAAAAGAAAGTAAACGAACTGAAAAAAGCCCTGGAGAAAGAAATTCTGGTACGATAATTGTTCCCATGCCTCCTTCAAGGCCCGTCTCAAGACCTTCCTCTTTGACCGGGCCTTCAGTCACCCTCCTAACCCCATCCTCCCTGGCCCCCAACCCCAGCTTGGGTGTACATTTTTGACTGTCCAGCGCTTTGAGACATTCTCCTGACATGAAAGACGCTATATAGGTGTAATTTGTTGTTGTCATTGATAATAACTTATGGAGTCCTGTAGCTCAGTGGTTAGAGCACTCGCCTTACAAGCGAGACACCTGGCTTCAATTCCAGGCAGGGCGAAACCTTGGGCAAGTTTCCTTACTCCACATGCCTAATAATAATCCCTCCAAAACAAAACAATAATAGATTGGTCATTTTCAATCCACGACTGTTTGTGGGACACTGCTGTGCGCAATTGGCTGCCGCGTTTCGTCCACAAATATACAGTCAATTCATTTTACAGTCTATTCTGTGAAGCGCTCTGAGACGTTGAGAAGACGTGAAGAGCGCTATATCAAATGCAAGGATTATATTATTATCATTTACGCGATTTTCAGCTCATTGTTTCTGAGACATATTAAATATGTATCTTTCACCAGCACAATTGGGGGATGGGGTTTGTGTTTTTTTTGTAGAATCAGCAGAGCACTAAAGAGCAGAAAGATAGGACAAAGGCCAATCTTAAAAACCTGGAGCAGGAGATGGAGGAAAGTTTAGAAGAAAACAATCGCTTGAGAGAACTGCTAGCAAAAACTGATAAAGAACTTCGAAGTCAGCTGGAGGAGTAAGTAGCAGGATTTGACTGATCGACTTTGTTCACACAGTTAACGTTGTTGTTTTAACTAAGTTTAATTAGTCAGTCATTTACAAAAGAGAGACTGGGAGTCCTGTCCCCTAGTGCCGGAGAAAATAAAGGCTAAATGATGCGCTCATTACTGAGTCCTGAGCCACTAGACCAGGGAGATCTCCTTCGATCCCTGACCTGTGTCGAGTTTGCTGACCTGAGCTGGGGCAGTGGTAAGGGATGCTATGATTAGTTAGGTGGTCTCAGTACCCCTGACTTAAGGGTGTGCAACACACAGTGGGCAATACTGTGCCAGGGTTAATGATCACCTTCCATTAATGATTGCATTAGAGTGGATGGGAGGGCAGAAAGGGAGACATTCAATGAAACAAAAACATTTCACAGTGAGACTCAACTGAAAATACATGGTTAAAAGAATTCTGTGTGTTTTATCCCAATCCCCAGTCCATCTGACTCCTTTTTCAGTCTATTGGAGTACGTTTCAGCTGCTTGCTAGTTGCCCTCCAATACACCAGCCAATTGCTCATTGTCTGAGCATGAGTCTGGAACAGTGAGTGTTGTCAGGATGATCGATTGTGGAAGATATCACACTGAGCCCGACTGTGTCCTCATCCGATGTTTGTCCACAAATGGGCACTTTACAACAGGACCTCGAGATAGCGATCAGGAGTTGAACCCCTGGCTGATCAGTTTATTGTCCACCCTCTGTCCTCTCCTTAGTCCAGGACGCACCAAGGCTAATTCTAGCAGCTCCGGCTGAGATCAAACAGGCAACCTTTTGTTCTGCGTGGCTTACTGCACCGGGCTGAGTCGTTACCCGCTAAGCCATTAGGGGAGCTCGAAATTCTTCTTAAAAAAAAGTTGCACTATTAGTTGGCATCGAATCAAAATGTGACAATGCCTGTCATAGAACACAAGAACACAGGAAGAATAGCAATGAGAACAAGCTGTTCAGCGCATTCAGGTCTATTTTTCTGGATTGCGATTGAGACAGACTCTTGTATCTGCTTCCTGTGCCAGTGCCAAGCCATCTACTCCTCGTCCACAGCTCATTCTTTCGCCTGAGCGCATAGTGTTTCATTTTACAAGTTTTAAATCGCACTTAGCTTGTGATTTCCTAAGCTTCTCGTGATCCATGCTTCTTTGCTTCTGTACAAATAAGTTATCAGCAGCCAAGTCCTATCTCTTCCTTTCTTCATCTTCCTTTTTCTGATGAGAGCAAATTCAGTTCTTTCATCATCTTTTGAAAGCTTAATGATCTAAGCCTTGGATACCAACCTAGTTATTCTTCATTGTACTATTCCCGGTGCTTCTCTGCTTCATGTTTTCAATATGGTGGCTGGAACTGAATGCAGAATCTCTCTAATATGACCACCAGTTCTCGACAAACTCTCAGTGTTACCCTGAAATTATTCTCAATGGGACGTTATCCAAAAATCTGGTGGATGTTTTTAATATCCTCTAAATAGGGCTTAGTAAGATGAAAGTAACTAATCAGCTAAATCATTTTTTTCATTTAAATGTGACTTATCACCGTTTCCAAGTATTTTTAGCGATATATCTATTGCACACTATAAAGCACTTTAGTCTCTGTTAAATAAGACAAATTGAAGTGATGCACCGATCTTTTTTTTACAATAGTTTACCTATCGAGCAAATGTATTTACTTACTTCACTTTCACTTCATTTTTCTGCAGCTCTTAAAAGAAACTTACTGCCTAACGGCTTCCTAATTAAGACTGCATTTAAGAATTTACTAAATTCTAGTCACTGTTGAATGCTACATAAGTCGAGTAAATCTTTATCCAGACAGAGTATCTACCCCAATGTATCTCACTGAATGCAGCATTTAAAGCATTTAGTCATATAGAGGCTCTGAGATTAATGTGAATGGATTACAAGACTCTAATCCAATTGAGAGGCTGTGATGACATCATTTTAACCTTGCAATTGGATTATTAACTGTAATCCTCTCCCAATGCTCCAGTATTATGGTATCTTCTCTCTCTCTCTTTCTCTATATATTTAGTTTGACATTTGGTTAAGTAACTATTGGGTAATCAAGATCAGTATTTTCCAGTTAATTATTTGTCAGGAACTTCCACAACATTTGTTTCCTTCAAAGTACATAGAAAACTATTGAAATACAGTTAAAAATAACTATTTAAAAATAGTTTTTCTTCCTTCGTCTCCCTCCTCTCCCCCCCCCCCCACCTCAGGCGTCAATGGCTGTGTCTTCGTAGGCAAACAGGGAAGCTAATATGTCCAAAGCAATGTCCAATTGTGCACGCGAATAGAATTGGGCGCTCATTTTATGGCTTTTCGTGGGACATTGCTGTGCACAAATTAGCTGCTGCATTTGCCTATTAATACACACTACAGCTGACGGCCGGGTTGGTGGGGGGAGATGAAAGGGGAAAATCTATTTTTAAGGTGGAATATTTTTTTTTAAGCTGATGGATTTATTCTCCTCTCAGGTTGATGCAAGTTAAGATGGAGAAAGAGCAGTACCAGAGCGAAATCAGAGACATGCAAGATCAACTCTCTGAGATGCATGATGAGCTGGATCATGCGAAGATTACTGTTGCCAGCGAAGAGGAAAAGGAAATATTGATCATGGTAATTGGGTGAAAATTAATCAACGCACAGCATTATTTCTGAGTTAACTGCCTCTTGTTACCTCATCCCCCTGTTTGGTTGGTAACATTGGCTGTTTTGAGGTTGATGTTAAGCCACAACACCATCAATTAGAAGTACATCATCTTGGAGAGGGAATTGAGAATTGACTGAATCTTTTGATTAGAAAATGCTGGTCTCCTCCAACAATTCCCACGCTCAAAGTAGCTGCTACATTCGCCTATTGATTCATACACACTGACTCCACTTCACAGCAAAATACTGTGTTGTGCTTTGAGACGTCTCGATGTTGTGATATAGGTGCTATATCAAATGCAAGTATTATTATCATTAAAGTAGCTTAGCTTTCAAAGCCACTGCCTGACGCTGCACTGAGCCATGACCTAGGAGGTCTCACGATTTGATTCCTGGTGTGTGCTGAATTAGCTGATCTCAGCTAGGGTTGCAGTGGTTCACGTAGAATAAAGGAGGGGGAAGGATATTTTTAAAGGGGAAAAAATGGTTATACGAGGCCCTTCATTTTAATTCAAACATTATTAACTAAGCTTCAAATTAATAAATTCTAATAATAAGTTGTAAATAATCTAAATGCAATTATTACAATAGTTTCACTGCAGATACCGTACACTTAAACTGTGAAATGCCAAACTGTGCATGTTTGATGGTGTTTCCGGCTGAGCCTTTACCCATTGAGCTGTGCTTCTGTTGCAGGATTTGATTCAGGCAAAGCAGGAGTTGAAGGATGTGCTGGCCGCCAAAGAAGATCAGGAAGAGGCGCTGAAACGGAGAGAACGTGAGCTCACAGCACTCCGAGGAGTCCTCAAGGAGGAGGTGTCGAACCACGACCAGGAGATTGAAAATCTTAAAGATAAATACGAGAAGGAGATGCAGAAACAGAAGAAGCGCCTTGAAGATGAAGTACAGGTGAGTTAATTCCGGCATTAACGGATTGCCTTTCTTGGGACGGTTTGGGTATGTTTCAGTCGTGAATTGGCAATTCATCGCTCTGTCTTGCACCCTGATGAAGAACGGATGTGAAGAAAAATACTATTGCGACACTCCCGACTTCAGGGTGACCTCGTCATAACCCGGGTATTTGAGCCTGGCCGCTCAGAGGTCGCGTTGTTATAAGAAAAGCGTGAAAGAAAAATGGATGACATCCGGGTTACTGTGTCCGCACTGACATCACTTCTTGCACGTAGGAGTCTGACTCGTCAAAGCTGGAACCCAGGTGCACTGCTGTAAACAAGCCAGCGCGATCCCAGGGGATGTTATAAATGGGGTTATCATTCTCTCCAGGAAATCAAAGATGCCATATCTTGGAATACCTTGTGCCAGAACATCCCTTGATATTTATTTGCCAACATGTTGTCAATGAGTTGCGTGAGTAACACGAGCACAGAGAGTGTCACGTGCTTCTTGGTCTACTTTGGTAACATCCATTCGTTCATTCTCTGTCACACTCAAATGAAAGCGTTTGATGTGGTGTAAAGCATATGATCGTGGAAGTGAGTAAATCCTTTCCCCTCCTTCCAACTGTGCTGATAGGCCATGCCCTTAATGAGCGATGTTCTAGGGCACTTCACTGTAACTGTAATTGTAAATGATTAGATGAAAGATATGTTTGTTATGTGCTACAATAGATAGTCAAAGAAGTGCCCTATAAGTAGGTCAACGTGGCTGAAGGATGAGGCTATTAATAGTGATTCTTTTCTCGCAGTTGACACTTTAATGCTCCTGTCTTGGCACACTACGTTTCAAGATATAATTAGTTCAAGTTATTTTACAAGCGAAGACTCACATTTTCTTTTATCCTTAGCAGACTACATTTCAAGTTTAAAACCATTTCCCTCCTGCTGTGTCATTTGAATGGGGTTTACTAATTTACTTCAGTTTGGTGTTATAATAGGAAAGAGGTCGTACCTCTGTACCATTGCTTAAATTCTGAGATTAATTGCAATTAATTGTTCCATACAATCTCAAATTTACCAGTAACCAGTAAGATGAACTAAAGTGGTTCTGTGACTCGTGTGTTCATAACAGTTTCTATTTTTTATTCTAAAACGTGTAGAATCAATCCACTTTACAGTATACTCTTTGCACTTTGAGATGTCTCGAAGACATGATAAGGCGCTATATCAAATGCAAGGATTATTATTATCAATAATGGCAATATTTTGGTGGGAGAGAAAATAAATGATTTAATTACCCCATTGGAAGTGGTGTAAGTATATGATGTCTAAACAAATCTGGGGGAAAATGTTATGCTCCATTTATACTGTTTGAAGTAGTGAGGAACAATAAAGAGCCTTTGTATTTACCATTGCAAAATCCCCAGTGTGTGCAGAGGTCAGCTGGTCTCTGACACAGAGCAATACACCACGCAAATATGTTTTGGCAGTAATTTTTAGGGAGAGGGGAAATACTGCAGCCTGTACCTACTTAAATTGATCTTGCCTTTTATCCACAAACCTGACCTTTAATGAAGACGACACTTTACAATTGGAAGTGAAGGAGCATTTGAATTTGTAAAGATTAAAAAAAAATTCAGTTCAAAAGTAAGAAATCTCTTTGAGGTGGTTAGCTTGTCTGTATATTTACCCTTCAATGTTGAAGCCTTATTTGTCTTGTAAACATGTAAATATTTGGAGTCTTCAAACATTTACTAGTTAAACTACACCCTTGTGTTGGACTGAAATTGGGTCAAACTATTGTAGATTTTATTATTGCTTCATCCTTTCTATGTTTGCTGTTGTACATGTTTAGGGCTGCACCAATCATCACTGTGGTAACTGAGTAATCTATTGATTGTAAATCACTAATGTAAAAGCTTTTACTGGCGACACTTGACTGTGAAGTTCACGTGGTGTCGTGAACAAAAATGATGGGGACAAGTATGGCAGGACAGTGTCATTTGATCAGATGTTTGTTTAAATTTGTCTTCAGTCTTCTTGTAGCAAACGTGCTAACTTTGGTTTGCTATTGCAATATAGTGGCCTGTGGAATTTACTCTGTGACGTCAAAGCAAGTTTCAGCAAGGCTGCTCCAATCAAGCAGTCTGTAAATTGGTTGTTCACTGAAAATTGAAGGGATTAATAAATTAACCAAAGACGTAGCCAGTAGGGTGTGGATTTGGCACATCTCGTTAGGAACTGCTGGTTGTGCATTGCTTGTTCACAAGGTCACACAAGAGATTCACATTGAATTCAGAAAGTTTCTTGAAAATTCACCCAGGTAGAGATTTACTCTAATTACATAGCACTTTAGAGGGTCTAGATTGTAGAATTCAGCCTCAACTTTGAAGGCTTTTTATTCTCTCGGTTCTTACAAGCACTCGAAGAAAACTGGCCACTAAACTAAGGCTCTATTTGAGAATTTGCCAAATTCTGGAGGCTGTAAAATAGAGTAAATCTAGATCCAGGTGGAATTTCTCCCAAGTTATGTTGAACAATGCCATATGGGTCAGAGTGTGTTTCAAGTCTGTGAAAGATTGTGTGTGTCCTGGTGACTATTTGTTTTAAGTTGCATAGTTATGAGCGTCCCAAAAGCTTTTGCAGTGTATAAAACATTCCTACCTTACGGTTATTGTATTTACTATAAACAACATAAAATGTTCCTGCTCTAATAATTTGTCGCTCATGGCTGCTTTTTGGTTAGTTCGGGAGTCTTATCTAGGCAAACGTTTCTTTCTTCACTAACTTACTGCTCTTTCCTGATCCGTTGCCAATAATAAGTGCACTTTTGGCAGCTATTTCTGCAAAAGTCGCTTTTTATACAAAAAATAATGTCAGACAGCTATCAAACCTTTTGAAGATCCTGCATCACATCACATGACTGAGAGGGCGATGAGGAGTTGTAGAGAGATAAGAGTGAAAGTGGGCAGGAGTATAGCACTGGGTATCAGCAAAGGCATTAACACATATTATGGAACACTTTGTGTACTGTATTGCATGACTGAATGTCCCAACTTCTTCCATTTGTTTGGGCATCTAGTTTTTATAATTGGGTCGAGTTGGTTTTCTATTCAAAATTGCAGTTCAGAAGTGTTATCTGAAGACGGTTATTAGCAGAAGAACAGCTAGGTAAATCTGCACGTTCTCTTAAAACTGCAGTGGTAATGAATAACCCGCCCTGGATTCTGCGCTCTGTCGACGATGGGGTCGAACAGCCTCACAGATTAACACTGGCATCTGTCCAGTGCTATTCAGCCATCACTTTTTAATCGGCCTGTAACTCAGTTTATCTTTTCTTTTTGAATTGCGTTCTCTACTTGCAAAATTTCTACATCCAAACAGCAGGGTGCTTGCAACGGTCACCGTTTGTACCAATTAATTCCTTTGCCGAGCAATATTGTGCTCGCGTTCCTTTCATGCCAAAGATAGTGTACAATATTTGATAATGATGAAGTTGTCATTTGTTTAAAATGTACTCTGGACAGTATTTGCCTGGGCGCTGGGAGGGATTTTGTTTTTAGTGAGTTGGGGTAATGTGGGTTGAGGGTAAAAAGCCAGGTTAGGCTGCTGACATTCCATGTAACATTCCCTTCCTGAGATAACATCCACGATTGTTGTTAAGATGCATTGCCCGGTTGAAAGTTCGTTCTGCTACATGTCTGTGGCCCTTTCAGTTGTGAAGCACCATCTTACTACTGAAGCACTGCAGAACATTCAAGATATTTGCCCTTAAAATGTTCACCCTAACGCACCTTACCTTTTGTAGTTCATTCTCAACAGGGGTGAAGTGCTGGGAAGTGGCACTTTTTTTTCCCACCCCAGAATGTAAAGCAACAAACACCTTCTGATGTCGAGAATAACATGGGTCAGACGTAACATACTGTAGTGTGTGTGTTGTGTGGGTAAGTTACCAGGGCCACAAATTCCAAACACAATGACATCCTCCGAAAGCTGGGGCATCATGTACATGCCTGTGCGTGCACCTTATTGATTTGAATCTGTGAGTGAACCAGATGAGCCCCATTGTGTGTGGCCCATATAACCCGAGCAGGGCAGTGGAGGCAGAGTTGTTTAACGTACCTCACTCATGTTGGTATGATTAGTAAAGCAGGGATATAAAACAAGCTCCATTAGGTTCAAACTGGGTGGCAGAACTGCAGAGACCGTCAGAAAGCTAATATACAAGTGACGACATTCCAGTGACCTTGGGTCAGCATCCTTTGTTGCCTCGAGGGAAACAGCGGAAGATCAAAGGTTTTCTCCAGAGGCAGCTTACCCAGGTCAGCTTGTTTGCAACATTGCTCTTACGCCAATATGCAACTGGCATTGGAAAGGGAAGAGAAAGAGGACGACTGCATAGAGATTGTTTGAGAGAACAACCCAAAGATATTTCAAATTGACTGGATCCTAATTAAAGGTAGAAACTGAATGCAACCATGTCCCTGTGGAGCCGATGACTGGGATGGCTTTTTGGTGCTCCTGATGGTTTTGCATTTTTCATTGTTCTCTCCTGATTCCTTTTGCATGAGAACCAGAAGCTTCAGCGAGTTACACCCACGTGCTTGTACACATTTTTGGTGAGAGCATAATGCCTGGTCGGGTATGAGCGATCCCTGTGGAATTGCTGTAACGTGTAAAAGGGGAAAGAACCTGTAAAACAGGCTATTTAAACAAAGGCTGCCTGCGTTAATGATTAGCTCCACAACTGGCGATGATAAACAGAACTGTTGACCTTGACAGGACAAAAGAACACATTTTATGACGGACCATTTTTTGCAACTTGAATTTATAACCAATGTTGGATTTTAAGAAATTCTTGGACGATTGCGTAACGTCTCTGGAATTCTCCATTCATGTTCATTCGCTTCTTTCTCCTGGTTGAACTTGGCGTTGGTAGGTCCTTAGGGGATCTAAGGCAAAGGGGATGCGAGACACTATCCTGCATGAAGGGCACTATAATAAATGCAAGTT